GACAACGGGTGGGATCTCGGTTCGTTTTTCAGGTTAAGAATCCTTGTTCAAGAAAGAGGAGCAGGTTGGCGAGTTGAAACCACGATTCCTGGGCCGGCGCCGGGTTGGAAGCCCCGTGGGTGACATTAAGCAGTGTAACTCGACCGCCCGTAGCAAAGAGCGCAAAGCTGAAAACGATCCATAACGGCGTTTGTGTCGAGGGGGGACAAGGTCTTTTTCCACCCGGCCCCCGAAGCATGAGTTCAGGCATCTGGTTGATTGGCCAATGGGGGGGGGCATACTAGCTCCCCATAAATGGCGATTGGAGAAACAACAAGTTTGTTTGCTTGAGCTGATTGGCCAACAAGAATAGCGTTGCAAAGAGAAACGTAAAGGAAACGCGTCAGCAATTCAAAAACAAAAAAAGAAACGACCAACAACAGAACAAACAAAGAACAAAACAAAACAAATCACTCACGACTAATGAGCCGAATCACACCGACAGAGTCGCTGGTATCTTGAACGAGCAGAGACCAAGAGTCGAAAAGAGCGAAAAAGATCAGGGGCAACAACTCGCGACCTTGAAGATTGAATTTGACAGGGAATGCAAGAGTTTGACCTGCAGCAAGGGAATCCCGTCTCTCTTCGTCGATTTTATTGTCAAGCGACGATGCCCCCCCCCCCCTCTCTTGTTGAACTTGAGCTGCAATAGGTAGGTTGTTGCTGATCATACAGGTCCAGCTGCAGACCGTACCCGGGGTACATTCCCAACTTAACGTTGTCCAACGAGGTATTCCCATAATTGTGGAGGGTAATAACTCCTTGAATTTCGTTGCCTTCCAAAGCTGTGGCGGGGAAGCTGGCAGCAATGATCTGAAGAGGTGCCGGTGGGCCACAAACACCGTCCACCATGACGGAACCGACATAGCACGATGTGCAATTGGTCGAGTTGCATGAGAGGCAGAAGGCGGCGCAGCATGCATCTGGGCCCGCTCCATAGCAAGTGGCACACGCTGCATCACACTCTAAGAGGCCAAAATCGTGACAAAAAGTTAACATTTGACAAACAGGTCGAAACACAGCAACGTCATGCATGCCTTACGATACAAGCTGGTTAAGACTCGGTACGTGCTGGGAGGGGCAACCGCGCCAAACGAGTTCCCTGACAAATCCACTTGTGTAAGTGCAGACAGATTCTGGAACAACCCAGGAGGCAAGGTAGAAAGCAAGTTGTTCTGCAATTCCCTGTTGTCAAGACGCGAGAGTTAGGATTGTCCCCCCTTCGCGAAATGTTGATTCCTCAAAGACACGGCTAGCGTACAAACGTTGCAGAGAAGTAAGGCCAGCCAACATTCCGCGCGGAACCTGTGTGAGACCGGTAGCAGACAAATCGCTGAATAGCATTGCGCAAAGTGAGCGGCTCTCATTGGTGCAGGTCTCATCATCAAGACATCATCAACACGCGCAATGATCGTACAGTAATGTCAGCGCTGAAAGGCCTGTAAACGCTCTCGCGGACAGGTCGGAAATGCCGTTGTAGCGCAAGTCCCTGTGAAGTGGGCAAATATTGAGCTGCAATCGGTCCAAAGCTTGGCAAGGAGGCAACGATCGCTTACAGGACTTGCAAGGCCTCAAGGCCGGAGAAAGCATTGGCAGGGATGACCGAAATTTGGTTCCCATACAAGCCGCTTTTTAGATTGACAAAAACACATAAAAAAAAGCGTTCAAACCAGTGCAAGTCAGTTGCCTTTCCATAAAACATGCCAGATCAAATCTCAGGCTTACAGCACAGTCAGCGAAGAAAGATCACGGAATGCAGCGGGTCGAATAAACCGAATGAACGTGTTATCAATCCACCTGTCCACCAGGATGATCGAGTTGAGCTGCAATCAACTCAACAACGTTTCGATGCTTTCTTTTTCTTTTGTTAACAAAAAATTACATGTTTTTCACCGTGGTTGGAATATTGGAGGGAATGGTGATGAGTGCGTCGTTGCAATTTTTGACCTCGATAACGGGCGATCCGACGCACGTGCAGAAAGTGCATGCGGCTTGCTCTTGCCCAGAGGAGACCCGGGCGACGACCAGCAGGCTCAACAGCCACCAAACGGGTGACCGCGTGGCTCGCCTCATGTTTGTGGTTGAATGAACAAGCACACCTTTTAAAAAAAAATGCAAAAAAGAGAAAGAAAAAAAAAACAAGATCAAGCAAACGATCAAAGCCATGAGGCAATCCGCTCTGCATCAGCACGCGCCAGTCACAGGATTTCACGTACAGACAAGGCAACAGAGTGTGGCTCGAAAAGAATACCCAAAAGCGACCAGAGATCCAAGCGAGGACAAGAAAAAAAAAAGAAGAAAAGTAAAGGACTGAGCTGAATTTCAAATGTGGAACGGTTTTTTCAAAACGATAAGATAATGACGAGCGTTGTCGCTCCACGAGCAGCAGCACACAAGGCACTTGCATGCGTGTGTGGTCGTCTCAAGGCGGAACGGAGCGCGAGCGGCGAGCGATTGAGAGTCAGAAGAAGCGGCAGAGGAACACAAACCAAAAAATAAAAAATTAAAAAAAATAAACCAACAAAAAATTTATTCAAAAAAAAAAACACTTGACATTTGGTGCACTCGTTCCACGAGTGTGCTTGTAGGCACTCATCTTCTTCGAGGTGGAATCAGAAAAAGAAGACGAAAGGAGATGAAAGAAGACGAAAGCAGACGGAAGAAGACGAAAGCAGACAAAAGACGACGAAAGAAAGAATGGCGAAAAGCAAAAAAAAAAAAAAAAAAAAAAAACCCACAAAAAAAAACCCACCCCAAACACTCGGAAAAAAAAAACCAATCGTGATAAGACCACAAAACACTTGCACTCTTCCCACTCATGCGTGTGCACGCACGCACTCATCTTCCTCTGAATCCTAATCAGTACAAGAACACGAAGACGAAAGAAGACAGAAGAGCGGAAACGAAACAGGCCAAACAACGCTTAACGCTTGGCGTTTTTTTTTTTGTTTTTTTTGCTTTTTTTGTTTTTTTTGCTTTTTTTTTTTTTGTTTTTTTTGTCCTTGTGTCAATAAACCAACAAATTCCTTCTGTTGCACTCTTTCCATTGCCATGCGTTTGTTTACTCGCACTCATCATCATCATCTGCCTCGAATGCCGAGACACGACCGACTGCCGCTGCAGCTGTTTGGCTTGCTGCTGATCTGCGCTGCCATGTTTGTGGCGAGCATTGCTGAAGCCAGCAGCAGCAGCAGCAGCACCATCCCTCGCCTGCATTGCCGCGGCGTGGGCAACTCGGACGTTGGCTTTTGGCTTGTGTTCCGCAACGACGGCGGCTCGTCGTTCTACTACATGGACTCGAACCGTGTGGGCTCCGAGCGCGGCCTGGTGCTGCCCCCTCAGCTGCTCGTGCACGCGCAGTCGCCGCTCGTCCTCACGCTGCAGAACATTATTGACGCGCGCAGCAATGCTTCCCGCTCGACCAGCCACGTCGTCTTTGCCAACGAGCATGACATGCACTCTGCGCGCAACTTTGATCCGAGCTCGGACGTGTTTGAGTCGCACGCACCGCCGCTCGACCGGGTTGGCGCTGACATTGGCTCAAGCCCCCGCACGTCCAAGCCCTTCCTGAGCGGCCTTCTCGCTGTTGAACACCACCCCCAGGAAATGGAAACCGCGGCGGAGGACGCCAACGGATTTCTGCTGACAACAACCATTCCACGCCTTGTTCCCATCGACCCTCGCACAAGCACGCTGCCTCGCAGTGTCCCCAACTCGGTGTGGTTTGACGTCCAAGACACGGCTCAAGGCGCAATCCTGTGCCTCTCGCTGAACGCGTCAGCAGGTGTGCAAGCCATTGTTGACGCACTGTTGACCACCAATCCGTTCGTGTCTGCGCTTGAGCTCTCAGAGGGCGTGCCGGCGGCAATGCAAGCGTTTGCGCGTCCCAACTGGCTGCCGCCCTCCACGGCTGCAGGCAGCGTCCATCTGCGTGGTGCTGCCGACTCGTTCGCACGTTGTCTCGCTGCATCTGGCACGTTTGCTGAGCTTGCTGCCAACTGTTTGCGCACTGTTGAGGTGCCTGGCGTGTTTGGCGTGCGCGACACCGGCTCGTCCCCACGCTTTGCTCGCGGCTGGTGGTTGCTCGCCAAGAACCGAGGCTTCCCGCAAGGGCTGATGTGGGCGCCAGCATGGAGCCGCACCTCCCTGTCGCCTTCAATTGAGCCGACATTGCTCAGTCGGTGGCAAACCGGCGGCGCTGTCACGGCGTTGATTGGCATCCTCGGTGGCACTGAGGCAGAGCTTGTCTGCATTGGCGACCTGTTCTTTGTGAATGACACGGCCTTGAGCGGAAGTGCGCTGTGCACCTCCATGCTGTCTGCACACTCCATCTCTCTGAACGAGCTTGTGGTTGCCGAAATGGTCCCTGCCACGCTGGCTAAAAACGCTGATTCTGATTCCAGTTTTCAAACAAGGCGCGGCCGCCCCGGTCAATCATCCCGTCAACTGCCCGCGCGACCACGCCAGCAGGAACAGTATTTTGACACGACGCAACACCCTCAAGCTCGGGACGACCGGACCCGTTCAGCTTCGCGTATCCAACAACGACTGCTGTCAAATAGCCGAGAAGCGCGCAGAAGACCGCAGCGGGTTTTGGCCGAGCAACGCATGGATGAATCTGAAGACCACCCTCAGCCTGACGATGACTTTAATCCTTCTCCAACACCGTACATTCCCCCGCAACACCCTCAAGCTCGGGGCGCCCGGACCCGTTCAGCTTCGCGTATCCAGCAACAACAACTCAACCCCGAATCTGGCCAAAAGCGCACTTTTTCAGCCAGAGAAGGCGACACTGAGCCACATGACGATGAGATTGTTAATTCTCAAGCAATGCCCAGCACAAAACGCAACCTTCGTTCGAATTCTCCCTCGCAACCGTACATTCCCTCGCAAACCAATGGCGTGCCTGTGTCCGAGCCGCAATCCATCTTTAGCTGTGGTTTGCTGTGGAGCTATTCTGCAAACAAGGACGTCTGGAAAACGGCTACTGTGACCTTTCCCACGTTGCCGGATCAGTTATCCCCCTGCGCTCATCTTGAAGTGTGGTTGGACCGTTTCCAGTCATCATCCAAAGAGCTCGTGAAAACGACGGTTTTCCGCCCAACGAAATCCAGCGGCAGCGAGTGGGAGGAATTCACGCGTCCAGCCGGCCCGGTGGACGATGTTGTCCCTCAACTGAGTAAAGCCCGCTACTCAATGGATGCGAACGTCGGGCAATTGGAGATTAACATGCCAAACGAAGACTCGGTGTTGAGCAACAGTCTGTTCGCGGCTGATGTCAAGTTTGTCTGGGACCATTCTGACATTCCGTATTGCCAAGGGCTTGAACAGTCGCTCTTACAGCCGGATGCTCGGCACAACGAGGTGCTTAACAACTGGGAGCTGTCCATGTGGCGTAAGCTGTTCTCGCGTGGTCGACTCCCATCGTTGCATCAGCGTCGCTTCGACCCTGAGGATAATGGCGACGAGTATTGCTTCATTGGACCGTGCTTGTTTGCATTGTACGCAAACGGCGAACGTGTTGGGTGGCCTGTTGGTTCGAAGGATGTCTCGCCCGTTACACACGAGGTGGCCATGAAATTCGCGCTGAGAGGCATCCAAGGGTCAATGATCATGCTCAATGCCACCTGCCACGCGCTTGAATGGTGCTTCGGTGCGCTTGACAAGCTGACATTCATTGCGGCCATGAGATTAAATGGGGCCGAGGACGACCAAACTGACGATGAAGTCTTAGGCGGTGATGCAGGCATGGCATTGAGCGAAGACGCCTCTAGCCACGATAGTAAGTGATGATCTGCTATTGGCGCTTGATTTTGGAAGCATTTTGCATTTGCTGACAAGCCATTGGAACAGGAAAATCCTTGAATTCCGCGGTTAACGATTGCAAGCATCATCTCGCTGGCGGGATAGAGTCGCCTTTTCTTCTGTCTCTCACTACGCCTACGACGGGATATCCCGGCTTGAAAAAGATCTGCGCCGAGTTCGCACCCGGCAAGCCGTACAAGATCTACGCAAAACACAACAAAAAAAGGGCTCAGGTTGCCACATTCACTGCACAACCAACCCATGCTCCTGCCACGCCACGGTTTTTCTACCTTTCGTATTTTGATTCTGATCCGAAAGCAAAAATACCGAGAGTCGTGGCGTATTCTGTTGAAATTCAGAAGACGACGCATCAAAGCCTTGCACGTCCTCAGACCCCATTCATGTATAATTTGGGTAAGTTCCAAGCGTAAACTCGTTCTAAGGTCACGAAGACGTCTCGCCTTGCTCACGTGTGTCAACAGAATTGTGTTCACCAGCTCGACTCCCTAATGTGGGAATAGTGCCAGCGCAGCAGATGTGTGCTTCGGCTTCGAGCTTGGCTGACAAGGACTACAGAAAAGTTGGCAAATCCTGGAACAAAGGCCATCTGTTCCCGAACGCAATCGCTGCGCTTGTGGACCCCACGCAGTATACTCCCCTCAACATGTCGTACGCGGCTGCGTTTTCCACTTTTGCGTACATCAACGTTGTCCCCATGGCCGCAGAGCTCAATCAACGTGATTGGAGCTACGCCGAAACGGCCTTCCGCGAGGTTGTTCTCGCCAAGAGCAAAGGCAAACAACAAGTCTTTTTTCTGACTGGCGCGCTTGGCACACCCTCCCAGGAAACACTAGCGACTGGAATTCCTGTTCCGACCGGCCCGTTTTTTACTGCCATGTGCATTCCAGGGGTTGGAAGCGGCGCCGCTTATGCTCACTACAACGGGAAAGCGGGTGAATCGCAGGCTTCTCAGGCTTCCCAGCCTTCCCGGCCTTCCCGGCCTTCCCGGCGGCAACCCCAGGCCCCTAAGACTCTGTACTCGGCAGTCGAGTTCATGAGTTTGGGAGCACTCGAGAATGAGCTAAACCTACCACAAAACGCCTTGTTTGGACAACACTGCAACCCCGATCTCACATCCGAGCTGATAGCTGCTTTCGCCCCAGCCAAGCATAACAACATTGGAAACACTGGCACCTTCAATCCTGATTTGCACCATCGGGACAAGCAAGCTTACGGAAATCGAAAAGAAACAGATCGCTGCACTCTTGATAGCGAGTGCCAGATTCCGATGGAATGCATCGGTAACACATGCAAATGTGTTGACTGCGACAGAATCCAACCGATTTACAAGCGGGGCGCTACTCAGCAGGAGATAGCGGACGCGACTGCAACTGCGAAACTCCTGTGTTTAGGGCAAGGTATAGGTCCAACCTACCTTGCAGATGTAAAGAATTACTTCGGATCACGAACGTTGGCGGACTGTCAGCGTACTTGCAAATGGAATACCAACACCGACAAGTGTTGGTAAGTCCGTTTCGGCCACGCTGGCAATTGGACAACTTGCTCGTCGGGCTGCGATCTCCAGTGTTTTTTTTGTGCACCTGTTTTCCCTTCATCTCAATAAAGCGACCTCACAACGCGACGACTTGTAACCTCGAAATTTGAGCCTTTCGGTTTGGGCAACGCATTTTAGTGTTGCTTGGAAAATTCCGTGATATCAAAGGAGCCACAGACTTTCGTTGGTACTAGATCTAGCTTTGCACTGTTGCTGCTTCCTTATTCGAGAGTAGATCGACGTTGTGATGCTCGATAGCTGCAATAGCCCTGACAGAGGAATTTCAGGAAAAACGCTGATTGTGCTTTTCACGAGCGGTGATGAGATCAACACGCAAACAAAGTCGCTCGGAATGTGCGGAAGACCTTGTTCGATGCGAATTCCTCATTCTTGTTGTATGAATCTGTGGCAGACATGATGCTATCGTATCGAGCGGCTGGCGCTGAAACGACTCACATCAAATATTGTGGAGTTTCTCCCTCAAATGACTCACCCAAGGCTTCCATCTCAGCAGACTGACACCAGATGCCGTTTTTCGCACATCAATACACTGTATGGTGCTTGGCAGGGTCAGAGGGCGATACAGTGGAATTCGGGGCACCTGCTCGAAATCATCTGCCCGTTGTGCCTGCAGTCCGCGGCGCGCTAGAGATCCGCTGTGCTTGTTTGATTTCGATCCAACTTACTAAGATTTTGTATTGTAGAGTGAAAGTGCCTCGGTTCGGTCGAACAACAGGCCATTTTTTGGGTGCCTAACTCCGGCAGTTTCGTCGGAGCGCCCTCGACCGTGTCGGTCTTCTTTCACCGCTTCTTTTTGAAGCACGATTTGCCATTTGGCTTGTCGGGGAGCGCGGCGCGGAAGCCGTCCCCGAATGGACGAGATTCTTCAACCGGAGTTAGACACCCGTTTTCGATTTGCGAGTTGTCGCAATGCTGCGCCAGCCAAATCGAAGTCGGCTCAGGAAGGCTCTGCCAGCCCCCCTCTGTGGCAAGTTACTCAAATGAGGACAACTACATGAAATTTGTGAGAACAGGGCAATGGCGTCCAGAGGACAGGCGTGAGATCGAAACGTTAGGCACCCTTCACATTAAATGGATTTGTCCTGATATTCAGTCGGTTTTGATTTTTTTTTCTCCACCGTTTTTTTTTTTTTTCTTTTTTTTTTTCCCAAATGGTTAAGAAGGCGCCCTCGGCTGCTCCCGCTCCGACTCCTACTCCTGTGCGCGCTGCAAGAGCCACCAGGCCAAAGACCAGCAGTCGCCTCAGTAGCACCGACGCAGCGGAGGACGATCGTGTGGTCGCGCCAATGGAGGTCGATCCACCCAAACCCAAGCGAGCTGCTGCCCGTGCTGCTACTGCTGCTGCTGCCACTGCTGCTACACCAGCAGTACAAGTGGCTAGTACTACTATTGCTGCTCCGCGAGGCAAGGCCAGCAAGGCAGCCGCACCTGTCCCTGCCACTTCAATCTCAGAGCCGCTGAGCAAGGTGCCGCCTGCCCAAGAGTTGTGAGACGTAATGCCAGTCCACTAACTCGTCACTGACATCTTGTTTGCTTCGTTTGTGATTCCTACTGTTTGATTTTTCACATAACGCCAGACCGCTCAGAAGAAGGCCACTGCACCAACCAACCAAGGATCTCAGACTGTGAGCTACCATCTTCGTGCTCGCAAACCCATTCAGGTTGCAATTGCGCGTACTGGCAAGACGAGCTCAGCTTCCAGTAGTGGCGTCCCCACAACCATCCGCAGCAAGCGTCGGGCTGCTGAACTGGCCGGGGAGAACACCTCAACAGCCAAGAAGAACAAGAAGAAGGCTCGTCAAACGGATGCTGACGATGCTGACGACGGCGACTACGAGGACTGCGAGGACGACACTGCTGGCGAGGACGACGACAACCAGGACAGCAAGAAGCTCAGCAGGGAGGAAGCGATTGGTGAAGCTCTCCTGCAAAACACCACACTGACTACGCTCGAGTATGTACTTGTCGGCTTCTGCTAACTCCATGTTTGTTTGATGCCTTGACTCACCGTATGGCATCAGCTTGGGCGAGTGTGTGATTGACTTCAAGAATGCTAGAATGCAGCCGATTGCGGCAGCGTTAGTGCAGAACAAAACGCTGACGACACTCCGGTATGCAACGCCGGATCCATTTGCCGATGCCATGGTAATGGCAGCTGTACAAAGCCCACTCGCTCACTACTTTGCTTTATGATAACAGGACTCAAAATTACATTGACGCAGTAATGTCCGATGCACTGACGCAAAGCACCACACTGACTGAACTCTCGTAAGTTGTTGTTGCACCATTTGCCCGTGTTGCTTATGTGAGGTAATTGGCTCACCGTGTGACGACAGGGGTTACCTCGATGCCAATGGAGCGCGATCGATGGCAAAGGCACTGACGCAGAACGCCACGTTGACCACGCTCCAGTACGCACCACTTCGCATTTTGATTGCATTCGAGTTTACCATTGCAAACGCTCCATTTGTTTCGATGGCGTCGCTCATTGTGTGGTAACAGTTTACACTCGGGTAAATTCGACTCGGCAGAATCAAACCCGATTGCCGCCATCCTGAAGCAAAACTCGACACTGACCACGCTCGTGTATGCTTCTTCCCTCTCATGCTGACCACTTCCGTGTCTGATTGCGAACATCAATCTAACCATGTCTGTCTGTTGGGTCAGGTTGTATGGTCCTCAGATTGGAGACTTTGGAGCTCAAGCGATTGGAGAAGCGCTGAAACCAAACACCACTTTGACTGCACTCCGGTACGGATTCCACTCTCTTCCTCTTCTGCTAGTTGCTTGTTCGCTGATAAGTTGAATCGAATATTGAATTATTGATTCTCATGTCATGGTCACCAGCTTGATCTGCAACGACATTGGCAGCGCTGGAACGCAAGCGATTGGAGAGGCACTCAAGAGCAACTCGGCATTGACTACGCTTGTGTCAGTGCCACTCTCGTGTTAATTCATTGCTTAACATCATTATTGGAGTTGTTGTGGTATGTGTTGCTCACTTCATTGTAATAGTTTGGATAACAACAAGATTGGCGAAGCTGGCGGACTTGCGATCGCTGATGTTCTGGTGTGCAACAAGACGCTGACCACGCTTTCGTACGTTCTGCCGGATGGATGTTGTGACTCTGGGTTCCACTGCTGCGTTGTTATGCCATCGCTGACATCAATTGCCACAGGCTGTATTGGTGTTCGATTGGAGATGCTGGAGTTGAAGCGATTGTTCACGCGCTCGAGCAGAACACGACGTTGTCCTCCCTCAAGTATGATCCTCCCTTCTCATTTTGACTGAATCCATGTCTTTGTAACTGCACCTGCTGTTTCATTTGCCCTGTCGCTCACTGCACTGCTCGCAGTTTGAACAACAATATCATTCTCGGTTGTGGCACGCAGGCGGCGCTACCACGGATGCTTCAAGTGAACACGACGCTGACTGAACTTGAGTACGTGACAGCTCCTACCTTTATCCCCCCACCCCAAACAAAAAGCAGAAAGATGAAGAGAACGAAAATCGAGGCAATCACGGCTGCCTAATACCGCATGCTCACACGTTGATTATAGTCTGGGCGACAATAGATTGAACAGCGTTGGATTCCAAGCAATTGCAGAAGCGCTCGCGCAAAACACTTCTCTCACGACACTCTCGTACGAGCTCCTCGCTTTGTGTTGATGAATGCCGTGCTTTGTTGTGGTATTCGATGGTATGGCTCACCGCTTTGGGAGTAGACTTATGGGAAACGCAATGGAAGTAGCCGGAGCGCAGGCGATTGCTACAGCACTCAAGAGCAACACCACACTGACCACACTCAAGTATGTTTGCAATCTGTCATGCCGGTTCGACGCTATCACTGCTAATGATCATGGTGCTTTGGAATTCTCACAATCGGATACAGTCTGGATCACAGTCGATTTGGTGATGCCGGTGCGCAGGCCATTGCGGATGCTCTTCGGCAGAACAAGACGCTTACGACTCTGCAGTATGTTTTTCTGCCGCACATTGGTCCATTTCTGTCTGCAAAGGCCAAATATTAACCTTGCTTGTATTGCGTGTCACGTGTCAAGTCTCAAGCACTGCAGGATTGGCACCGCTGGACTCCAAGCGATCAGTGGAGCACTCGCGCAGAACAACACGCTGACCACGCTCAAGTATGTTTGGGAATGCTGTTGTTGAGAGCGAGGCTATATTCTGGTGATACATTTTCTTCACACTTGAAAACACAGTCTTTCATGGAACCCGATTGACGATGCTGGTGCCAACAGCATTGCCGAAATGCTGAAGTCGAACACAAGTTTGATCACTCTCGAGTACGTTCTATGCTCCTGTTGTTGTGGAACTGGTTGTTGCTGCATTTACTCACGATCAGCCAACAGTCTGAGTTGGAGCCCGCTTTGTTTTAAAGTGCACTTGATTGCGGAAGCACTCAAACAGAACACCACGCTTACGACACTCGAGTAAGGGTTTCCACCATCTCTCTCGCTCCTGTCGCTCATACACAATTGCTGTTCCTTGATCCTTCTATTACTCACGGCTTTGCGCATTCAGTTTATCTCGCAATAATATTGGCGCTGTTGGAGCGCAGATCATTTCCGAGGCTCTGAAGCAGAACAGGACTCTGACGACGCTGTGGTACGTGCCTTGCTCGTTGCTCAATGTCACACCTGAAGGCGGACGTCCTACTTGGTGGTATTCTTACATAACACGTGGTTGCAGTCTGAATGAAAATCACATTGGCACTGCTGGTGTGAAACCTATTGCCGAGGCGCTCAAAGTGAACACCGCGCTGACCACGCTCGAGTATGTTCAATCTTCCCCGGTGATTGGTGCCGTGTTTGTCATGCCTCACTGTAGTCACTTTACTTGTTATGTGGGAGCAGGTTGGAGGATTGTTCCATCGGTGATTCTGAAGCGCAGGCAATTGCACCTGGCCTTGTGCAGAACACGACTCTAACCTCGCTCAAGTATGTAACAAGTCGCATGCCGATCTGCCTCGATGCTTGATTCACTGAAACTGACACTATTTCTGGGATTAGACTAGGGAACAACGTGCTTGGCGATGCTGGAGCGCACGCGATTGCTGAGGTCCTGAAGCAAAATTCCAAGCTCACCTGCCTCAAGTAAGGTCATCTTTCATTGTCGGTTCATACTCCGAAGGTGATACCAAGTGCTGATTGATGATTTATGGTTTGTTGTTTTCTTCACTGTGATGGCATCACAGGGTGACGGCTCGCTTTGTTGACTCAGGAGTGCAAATGATCGCAGCCGCACTCAAACAGAACACTGCGCTGACCACGCTCGAGTAGGTTGCACTCCCTCGTGTTGATCCATGTCTCACTTGTGCGCATAAAATGATTCTTTCTGATGCGATTACTCACGGCGTGATTCTAGATTGCGAGGTTGGAACAACTACAACCCTGAATTCGAGCGTGAAATGTCAGAACCATTGATCACAGAGCGGTATGTTGTCCTGCAGTTGACATTCACTCTGAAGTGGCCAACGCTTCCTGCTCACATAACTTGTCATCGTATGGTAACAGTCTACTATTGCGGTTGCGTAATCCGAGTGATTTTGGGCTTTCATACGCCTTTATGCAGGTTTCCAGGCTTTAGTATGTTCCTTCACCCTTCTCCTGTCGTTCCCCCTTCGATGACGACGACGCATGTGATGCTTCTTTCGATGGATATAAGTCACTCAGTTTATGCGGACAGCTTGCGTGAGAACATTGTTGACTCTGCTGGAGTGCAAGTGATTCAAGAGGTTCTGAGTTTGACCAAACCAAGCAAGCTTGAGTAGGTTTTCGGACTCGGTTGGTGTTGTGACTTTCATTGCAACTCACATTGATTGTTGTTCACGACACTGTTTAGGATTCCCTTTGGCGTTGACTCCTTTGGAGCGCAAGTCATTGCAACATCGCTCAAGCAGAACTCTTGGATGACAGAGCTCGAGTATGTTTGCTTCTCTCGCTGATTTGCTTTGTTCGGGGGGGGAGGCGGTGGAAACGTTGCTGCAAGTGCTCACCGCGTGACAACAGTTTGAGTTGCCATCCGATTGGTGCGATTGGAGCCCAAGCGATTGCAGAGGCGCTGACGCAGAACGCCAAGCTCACTATACTCAAGTATGTTGTCTTTCCATCGCGCTTGCTGAATGTTGTCGTTCTCGGCGTCGTCAACTAATCGCTGCTCGACCATGTCGGGGGTTTGTTCAATCACGACACGATTTTAGTCTGAGTTCCACTCTGCTCGGAGATGCAGGAGCGGAAGCGATTTCCAAGGCACTCAGGGTAAACACGACACTGACCACGCTAAAGTACGACTTGGCTATTTCTGCCCTTGCCTTGTTGCGCCCTTGCCTTGTTGCGCTGCACTGATGATACTCACACTTTGAGCAGCCTGCGCGAGTGTTGGATTGGCAGTGCAGGAGCGCAGGCGCTGGCGGAGGAATTGAAGCAAAACGTGGGATTGACGTCGCTCGAGTACGTTTCCGTTCGCTTGCTACCTTGCGTGCTGAGCATGTCGTTTGATGAGCAACGATACTTACACTTACCTTTTGAGAGCAGCCTGTCCCGCAATTCTATCGGCGATAGTGGTGCAAATGCGATGGCGGCAGTGATTTCGCAGAACACAACACTGACGACTCTCGAGTATGTTCCTCTCGCTTTTCTGCTGTTTCGTGTCGCACTGGTCATTAAACAAGCTGCATGTTACTCACTGCATTGTACACAGTCTCGGGATGAATCATATTGGCGATGCTGGCGCCGAAAGGTTGGCAGAAGCGCTCCTGCGAAACACCACGCTCAAAGTACTCGAGTATGTGACCATTATTTTGCAGATTGAGATCAACAATGAATGTGTGTACGTCCTGGTCTGCAGTGCTTTTGCTCACTCCTATGCAAACAGTTTGTGGTATAACGAAATCGGGGAAGCCGGAGAGCTTGCGTTGGACAACGCACTCGACCAGAATTCTGCACTTGACTGGCTCAAGTATGGTCCCTTTATCTGATGCTGATTCTGTCGTGTTTGTGTGTGGTACTTACTGTTTGACGGTATGGCTTTCTCACTTCAAACAGCTTGAACGAGAATCAACCGCCGAATTAACCAAAGAACGCTCGCTTCCTTTTCTCTGGTGGTGTGTTGCTGTGTTTTCTTCTGATGATGACTTTTGCTCACTTCGAGGTAGCAGATTGTGTTTGAGTTCGGGTAGTTTTGTAGACGTAGCTTGGTAGTTTGTTTGTTTGTTTGTTTTTTTGTTTTTCTTTCGTTTGTTTGTTTGGTTGTGTGTGTGTGTGTGTGTGTTTTTACCTTGCATGGCTTGACAAATACATGTACTTCGTTGAGTGTCAACCTTTCCATCATGGAACCGTGCAAGCATGAATTAAGGCGCTGTGATCAACCTGTGGATTACCCCGAAGCGTGAACCAAAGCCGGAATGGTTCCCAGTTTGAGCTTGTACAGTACTGTAGAGCTAAACCTGAAGAACTCAAATGAGTGCCACCATCCTTCGAACGAACAGGTAGTTTTGCAAACGCTTCCAGAACGCCGATTTGTTGTTTCGCGGCTTGGTTGACAGGTTGTAACGCGAATTGTGCTACTTGCTAAGGCGGATCTTCCAGCCAATGCTGCGGCTGAATTGCCTCACTTGCAATAGTGGAAATCTCTGCCTAACTTGCTATGCCGGTTATGACATGGTGAGCGGCTACTGCCAGCCTTCCGCGGCCATGATTGCCAGAGCTTCGGCTTCTTCCGCCTCGGTCGCCTCTGCCGCATCAGCCTCTTCTGCTACAATTGCTTCTGCTGCATCTGCTTCCTCTGCTACAATTGCTTCTGCTGCATCTGGACGCTGTGCTTCGAGCTGTTCCTCGGGACTTTTCAGGCAGAATTCAACTTGGACGTGTGTGGCGGAATGTGATGGGAGCCTCTTTGCAGATTCTTCAAGCGGATCATGCGTTGTGTCATGTCTGTCGCCGACGTACGCAAATTCTCTTGCTACTCCGCCATCGTGCTCGGCGAGCTGCACTGGTGGACGTTTCAAAGATGATAGCACTCGACAATGTGTTGCGAATTGCCCAGCCAACTCTTGGGCCGATCCCTCAACTAGCAGCTGTGCAGCAACCTGCTCCGCCGGGTTTGCGCACAATGCCACCTGGTCTTGCGTCAACACTTGCACTGTCGGCTATGCCGACAACTCGACTCGGTCATGCGTGACTCGTTGCCCAAGCGGCACTTTTGCTTTGAAGCCATCTCATTCTTGCGTTGCTGCGTGCCCATCTGGCTACAAAGCCTCCAACTCCACCAGCTCATGCGATGATGGCTCTTCTGGCGCTCAAGGCAATGGTGGCAGTAGCCCTGTTGCCGCAGCAGCTGGCGCCGCAGCAGCAGGAGTCGTTGTTCTGATTGCGATCGTGGTCGCGGTTGTACTTTTGCGTCGAAGGAAGCAAACCCACGGCAACCACAAGATGGAAAGCACTTCCGCTACTATCGAAATGACCAACCCGAACTTTGCTTCGAGCCACGATCCAGTCTACGATGTTGCTGGTCAAACCAAGCAAAAGAGCGCTTACCCTGCCTCGGCTGACTACGCACTGCCGCTCAAACCAAACCCCAGCGATCCCGAGTATGCCGCGGTCGGAGGATTGCCGTATTCCACGCCGTCAACTGAATACAGCCTTGCAGTGGTCTCAACATCTGCAATGCTGTCATCGCAGATAGCCACTGGCGAGCGCAAGCTGCTCGGACGAGGCGCCTTTGGAGAAGTGTTTTCCGCGAACGTGTCCATTGCCCTCATTGCTCCCCAGCATCGCCACCTGTTTGCCCCAGGCGCGCAGACGGTCGATGTCGCAGTCAAGACTCTGCAATTGGATGCCAACGTTCGAGCGGAGCAAGACTTTGTGCACGAGGCCGAGCTCTTGCGCAGGCTGAATCACACCAACATTGTCAATGTCCTCGCGGTGCTCCCAGCCGGACGAGGTCAGCCGCAAATGCTCGTTCTGGAGTATGTGCCGTATGGTAAGTTCTTGACATACAGTCGTAGTTCCAACTGGTGAAGCGGATTTTCATTGGTATTCACTTTCATGAAAACTCTACAGGTGATCTCCGCAACCTACTTCGGAAATCGGCAAAGAGCGGTGTCGTCTGGTCGCCAGACGAGTATGTGCATGTGGCCACCGGTGTTGCCGAAGGCATGGCGTACTTGGAGCAATCGCGTGTGCTTCATCGTGATTTGGCAGCACGGAATATCCTTGTTGGCGAGCATCTGGTCGCCAAGATTGCCGACTTTGGCTTATCCAGGGAGCTGAACGACAAGGACTATTACAAGTTGCAGTCGAAGCAGAAGCTGCCGATTCGCGTAAGTCGATTAATTGCCGAGGACGCTTTGGGTCGATGGTTTGTCGTTTCTTGTAGCCTTGTATTTACACTCGGGTGCATAATAGTGGATGGCGCCCGAAACACTCAACTATCGCAAGTTCTCGAGCCAATCGGATGTATTTTCGTATGGCGTTGTGCTTTGTAAGTTGGATTTGCACTTGTCGAGCAAAGGTTGAATTCCGCGACGTTGCTCACGCTTGCGTTTTGAATCAGGGGAGCTCTTTACAATGGGCCAAGCACCCTGGGCGAATGTCGAACGCGAGCAGTACCTTGTGGGTCTGGAGCGCGGCGATCGTTTGCCGCAACCTCGGGACTGTCCTGCGCATCTCTACTCGCTGATGTTGACGACCTGGGAATGGGAACCCTGCACGCCCTTCGTTTGCCGACTGCGTGCTTTTGCTTCAGCAGAGCCGTTCGCCACGCGGCACAGGTCGCGATTTGGGGGCTTTGGTGCATTGATTTGACGGTGCATTGATTTGTCGGTGCATTGATTTGTCGGTGAAGGTTTGTTGTAACAGTTGGTGTTGCTCGATGGGTGGAATCATGTTACTTGAAACTCAAGCAGACCCCGCCCCGGCTCAACTGGTGCTCAATAGGCACAACAACAATCACACCTCGAGTCATCTCGTTGTTACCGGCTCTCCATCCAGCGACTGTTCTTGCTTAACGGCAGATCGCCCACAAATCGGTTTGTGGACCAATGGATCAGCCAGGCTGCAGTTGCGCGTTCCCCCCCCCCCATTATTTGCCAATTTCCTTCCAGCCAGGTTGTTCAACAAGTGACTCGTGTAGCACGTTGAAGTGCCCCGATGACTTTCTATGGTTCTCCCCATTCCTCTACATTCGATACTTCGATACGGTGGATGCCCAAATATGGTCTGTTTTGACTTCGTCACTCTTTTTTTATTTTTTTTATTTTCAACCCCAAAACACACTAACAACAATGGGCAAGTTCTGTCCTAACTGCGGCAAGGCTGCCGACTCTGGAAAGTGAGTGCTGCGGCAATTTTCGGTTTTTGGCTTTGCTTTGACATTCGCTTTCACCCGCTTCAGGCGAGCAAGAATGAAGGAAGGCAAACAACAAAGAAACCAAAAGAAACCAAAAAAAAAAAAAAAAAAAAAAAAGCCATTATTCTGGTTGATCTATGGGGGCTGCTGCGGTTTGTGGAAATGCCGCCCAGCGCTGTGCCAGTGCCATGGAGACGCATGGAGACGCGTGTTTCGCTGCTGCGCCTGCGCACTCGAAGCACGCGCGTGGAAGGCGAGTTTGGAGCGCAAACGAGGAACAAAGGAACAAGCACAGTTTCAAAATGGAATGAACACACTTTTTTGTTATGGTTTTTGAAAAAAAAAAAAAAAAAACAGCGCCCACCGCTGCTCGAACTGTGTGTCACCCTCTCCACTTCTTGTGCTTTGTTGCTTCGCCTTGATCAACGGTGGTGGGCAAGGGGGGCACAGCGCGTCGTGCTCCTTGACGCATTGCCCTGCGCGCAACCTCAACTCAGGGCACAGCGCGTCGTGCTCCTTGACGCATTGCCCTGCGCGCAACCTCAACTCAAGCGAAAACACGGCAAAGAACAACAACTAGGGGTTTTGGTTTTGATTTTTATTTTCTTTTTTTTTTCTTTTTTTTCTTTTTTTTTTTTTTTTTTTTTTTTGTTTTTTCAACTGTTCTTTACTTTTTGAATTCAACCGAAAGTCGAAAACTTTATTGAATCCATGATTTTGTGATTGAATGAAAAAAAAAAAAACTTACACTCAAATGTTGCTGATTTTGTTGTTGCTTTTGTTTCTGGTGAAAATAGGTTCTGCGGCGAGTGCGGTGCTGCCATCGATGGAGGCGCTGCTTCCCCTAGCGGCTCGTCTGCTCAAGCGGTCGCCAAAGTTAGCGTGACCACCGAGGCCAAGGTCGAGGGCGGTGATGATGTATGTAGAGCAGCAACGAGGGTTGTGGCATTTGTGTGTGTGTGAGTGTGTGTGCAAGGTTTTCTCATCTGACTCTTGCTGCTCGCTTTGTCGACTTTGTAGATCATTTGGGAAGGCGAGACCTGGCCCAAGGGCTGCCTCTCGCCCATGTGCTGCTCTGCTAGTCAGTGAAATCAGTTGATGCCATGCGATTGCTTGTGTTTGGCAGCTATGTGCCCACGAATTGTTCAACTGACTTTCGTCGCCTATTTTTTTTTTTTTTTGAACCAACAGCCCACTGGAAGATCTCCCGCAAGCGCATCGATATCACCCGTGGCTGCTGCGGCTCCACCATGGACACCACTGACTTCCGTCGTGTCACTGACATGAACTTTAGCCGCAGCATTCTCCAGATGTGCCTGAACCGCGGCACCATTAGTAAGCTCACTCGAAAAACCACTTCTCTCGCCGAAAACCCCAGCCACCCACTCTTCTGTGAAACACACATCTGACTGTTTCGTGTGACTTTTTTGCGTTCAAACAGCCATCTTCAGCTCAGACGCCACCGACCCCGAGTTGAAGCTGACCACCTGGCGCATGAAGGCCCTTTACCCCAAGCTCCGTGACGCCTGGGGCAAGGCTCGCATTGCCACTTCTGTCGATGTGCCCGACCACCATTAATAAATAAAAAGAAAAAAAAAAAGGCCGAGCTACCTTGGCTTTTGCTCGTTCGTTTTTGAATATCCCGTTTTTTTCGTTTTGTCTTGAAGCCTGTTATGCCCACCCTTCTTTCCACCATTAATTAACATTTTGCTGGAAAACGCGAGTGTTCAAGTCTGGGTGATGCTTTTTTTTTTTCTTTTTTTTTTTTTTTTTTTTTTTTTGGTGAACATCAAACAAGAATTCAGAACCAGGGCTAGATGCCTGGATCGGAAGGCTCTCGACTGGATGACACAACAGCAGATTGTTGTGACTGGTGCTGGCCTTGGCTTTGTCGCTGTCGCAACCAGCCGACCGTATCGGAAAAGGCGGTCGAAGGCTTGGCTGCTGGGGCGTCGCCCAATCGAGACGAGCTCGATGCGAATGAGCTGGAATTGCCAAGTCTCGCACGTGTGCCCGTTGTCAGCCCTTTCGCCTGCTCGCGTGCACTTGCAAAGGTGCCTGTACTGTCCCACTGCGGATTTGCGCGACCTCTGCATTTGTGTTTTGTTCAAGGCAACGAGGTAAGTCAAACCATTCAACAAAAACCCTTAGCAACTCTGCTGACCCCATACCTTCGACGCTCAATGAACTTGACCACGGCAATGGCCACGATGAGAACAACTGTTGCAATGCCAACTATGAGTTGCATCCGGGAAAGGTCTCTTCGCCGGGAGAGAGTCGGTGACTTTGGTGGCGCGGCGCTTTTCGGAAGCACAAAGTCTCCGGCACCTTGTTGGTCGAGTGCAGCTGGTGTGCAGTCTAGATGTTGGCAGTACGCATTGACTTGATTTGCTGTTGGGGTGAAGCAACAAACAACACGATCAGATCAGAAACCAGAGTTGTCTGCCTCGCTCTGCTGGCCGCAAATACAAGACCCAAAAAAGCGCTTGCAAAACATACTCAATGCAGATCCAGAAAGCTCAGAGGATAGACAGCTCCGGAAGAGCGATCCGCACTTAAAGTGGAGATGGTGGATGCTCGAGTTGCTGCAATCTGGTTTCTGGCCAATGGACTGTGTGTAGCAACCGAGCACGTCGCAGAAATCCGCCAGGCATACTGGTTGTGACTAGTTTGTCGAATCCATTCACACAACCAATTGCGTGAGCGTTATTGCGACGCAACGACAACGCCCAAAAGTTCCCAATTCCGATAGTTGGAACATTTTCCAGCTGTTCCGCCCCATCATCTTCTCTTGGTTTTGGACAGCTCAGACGAGCTCCTTTGTAGCTTTTTTGCTCAATTTGTTTGCATTTTGCTCAGAATCGACTGTTTGGCAGCTTCACCTGAATTTCGAGGTCGCGGTGGCGATGGTCAAAGTGGTCGTCCAGGTGCTCGGCAGTGTCAAAGCCCTTGCCGCAAACCAGGCATTGATGCTTTGAGAAGGACGTCATGCGACGTTTGTGCTGCGAGACAAAGTGCACATCGCGCAGAGGGTGCAGCGGGCAGCTTGGCGGCCAGTCGAACAAGTCAGTCCTGCTGCCAACAAGCTGAAATTTTCAGCGAGACAGGGGGGGGAGGTATCAAAGTGAGTCATAAGAACGTTCTCTGCAATGTTGATTTTGGAGCAAGCCGAGGCGGGGGGGGGGAATGGAATGGAAACGTAACTCGTTCTAGGGAAGCGCGAGCGAGGCGCGATCCGTCATGCGAACACGGCTTGGCGGCAGTCAGCGATGCAAGACTGAGCAGAGTTGCTGGTATGAGTAACAAGAGGCAACATCTGCGAATGCTGGCGGTGGTGGATGGGGTTGGACGCCCCGTCATCATCTTCGCAGTCGGATTCGCAGAGAGAGAGGACTGGCATCAGTCCATTCATAGATCCAGTCATGGCAATACATTGGAATCAACAAGGATGAACAGAGAAATGAAAAGCGCAAAACGAGCATGAAGAACACAATGGATTGGAAACAACATTCAAGAGGCAACAAAGAGGAGAATCAAGAAATGTCGCGTCGCTTTGGTGGGCGGTGCTTGGAATTGCGCACTAGTGTCTGAGCAAGCCACTCCATGGCCGGTCGTATTCCCTCGCCAGTAACGGCAGAAACGGGCTCGACCTTGCACGCACGAGGACCAATTCGGCGAGCGCTCTGGTTGAACACTTCCTTCACCTGCACTACACTCAGACACCCGTCTCTATCCTGCTTGTTTGCGAGCACTAGAATGGGCACGTTTTCCAGATTGGAGTCGCCCACGAGTTGATCTGTGGCGAGTCACACACGGGAGGCAAGTTAGAGAGAGAGTACAAATGCAGATGTCTTCTCCCCCTGTCGGACCGCTTTTTTCGTATCGCTAGTTCAAAACCAGGCTGGCGACACATACCAAAAGCCTCCTGTGATTGCCGTATCCGATCGGGATCACTTGAATCCACAACATAAACGACGCCGTGAGCCTCTTCGTAGTACTTGTTCCACAACGACTGCAGTGACGTTTGTCCTCCCAGGTCCCAGAAGATGATTCGATTCTTGTCTGCTATATCCACCTTGGCGACTTGTTTTTTTGTTTGCGGGTTGACATTCATTTTGGCAGTGGGTGAGAGTGAGACGAATCTGCACGTTCGTTTTCTCGCTTTTCGCTTGTTTTGCTTTTTACCATTGAGACCAACAGTGGTTGTAATCTTGTTCATGGGGATGCCTGCGTATCCAGGATTGTACAATTGCTTTGTCCGCTCGAGCAGCGTCTGTCACACAACGTAGCAATGACCACGTCCGCAGCACAAAAGCATTGAGCCTTTTCGTTCTGCGCTCACTCTGACCGACTCACTCGCTGAGCACAGTTCCTCGCGTCATTCAATCCAAGATGCTCCAAGCATCCTATTCCAGTCAAATGGGACGTGTGCCGGGGTGGGGGTGGGGGAAGGAGCGTCTCACAACGTCGTCCGCTTACTGTTTTGCCTGCGTTGTCGAGCCCCAGGATGAGCACGTAGTACTCGTCCTTCTGGAGCATGTACTTGACAAGCCCAGATAATAGTGCGTACATTTGCGTGGATGACAAGTGGAGACGCAACGGACGAAGAGAGGGGGAAACGGTGGATTGGTGACGAGTGCAACAGCAAGGACGAAGAGTGAGCAGTGGATTGGATTAGGACGGGTGATGATGTGGGGATTTTTGTTGTTCGTCTCATCAGATTGCAGATTGGGTGGGGTCTGTGCTTTGGATGGTACTTTGGTACTGATTGGAAACAGCTGAAAGTTTGGAGCTGTCAAAAAAACGACTCGTTCTTTCTTTTCCCCCCCCCCTGCCAGTCAAATCACCCCAAATTTCTCTTGTAATGATACTTTGTTTGTGCATCATCTACATCATCTACATCATCTACATCAATGTCTCAATCCATTTCGATGAGGGTGCATTGCTTCACTCTTTTTTTTTTTTTCTCTCTCTGTTTTTTTTTTTTTTTGTAAGTTTCTTCTCTCTTGCCTCATTGCTTTTTGGTCGCACTGCCTCTGAGACCCACCAACTACGAGCAGTGTCAATGGCACTCCATGTGGCTTCGGAAGCAAACTGAAGAGACGGGGCACGTCGGAACTGGGAGGCACGGGGAAGCGAGCGAAGGGAAGTGGGGGAAACAGGCTGTTCAACGTGGACCTCGCCGTGCTGTTGCTTGGTGCCCCCTTCTCATCCTCGCTGCGAACTGCGACACAACCGCGCTCTCTTCTCTGGCAGCAATGCAAGCAAGACGAGAGGTCTCTTGTGGAGCGGGAGACAGTCAGTCAGAGGAGAACAGAAGAATCCCAATGGCCGACACACACACACGAGGACCCATCAGCGCGTTTTCGTCCCCTCGTTGATTGCCTTTGCGCTCCTGACCATCCCCGGAATGGAGAATGGGATGGTATCCAAGTGTGCATTTTGCCATCATCATCATCAGTCATCATCACCATCGTCGTTGTCGGGATTCGGAAGCAGAGAGAAAGACCAAACATCATAATAATAGAACGAAAAAAAGCCTTTTTTTTTTTTTTTTTTTTTTTTTGATTCCGTTTTGGCATCGGTGCTGTTTTCTGCCCTTGCAGTTTGCGTTTTGCTGCAGTGTGAAGCGTGGTTCTACTGTGATGCTTGTGTGATGCTTTAGTGCGTGTAAGTGGGACTGAAGCACGGCACTGCAGCTGCGAATCAACAGCAAACGGCGAGGTGAACGAGCGACGTGAAACCAGGAACAAAAACCGGTTGGGAAAAAAAAAAATATCAAAAAAAAAAAAAGGACATTCACAAGCCACAGCCACAAACAACGCCTGAACAGCGGGGGGGGGAAGGGGAGGTGGTGAGAGATGGGCGGAGGAAGGGTGTGTCGAGCGGAAGAAGGTCAAGAGAGGGGAAAGGAGAGGACAGGAGAGGAACGGAGAGAGAGAGAGCGAGGCCTCTGCTCGTCTCGGTTGCGAAAATAGAGGGTTGTTGTGGAGACTTTGTTCAATGTTTTTGTTTTGGTTGATTTTTTGGTGTTTTGGTCGTTTTTCAGTACTCAACGTCTGAGTATGATTGAAAATGGTTGGATTGGTGAAATACTGTCACCCCTCCTTTATCTTCTCTCTCTGATCATGGATGTTGTTGTTGAGCACCCAACATTCGGCTGTTGAGAAGCGAACGCTCACTTTCTGAGTTTTCGTGTTGTCCTCCTGCTCTCTTCGCTTGCCTTTGGTCACGCATTTGCTAGTTAACTCACTTTGGTTTGCTATTGGTTTTTTGGCCTATTTTGACAGATTTTGCGTTTTGCTCTTTTGGTCGAGTTCGCATTCTCGTTCCAATTCTCCAATTGCTTGCGTCTTAGCCACCTTCCTTCAAGAAAGCAAGACCATCAGAACAGAAAACACACACACACACACACATACACAAAAGCTCCCTTTTTCTCTTGTGGCTGTTGTTGTTGTTGTTTTCTTTCCATCTCTATTGTTCGAACGGTCTGCGTCGTGATTCTTGATTGTTTTCGGACTTTCCCCCCTTCCAACAAAAGGCGCTGCCTGCTTCCTACCCGGCTGTGAATGACCCCACGCAACTCGTGTGAGTTGGCCCTCTTCTATATTTCCGCGACACGCGAGAACGGGTAACTCGAATCCTTTTCTAGCCTCGGTGTTTTTTTTTTTAAACCTTCGATTTTCCTTTTCATTCTCAATCTCTTCCTTCTTTCCCTTTCATTCATTCTTTTGTTTCTTTTGTTTCCTGTTAACTGTTTTTTCTCTTCTTCCCCATTCTTTTGATTCCCCCATTGTCGATTTGACTTGGTGAATCACTTTTCTCTCTTTTTTTTTTCACGTTAGACTGCTCTCTTCTCGTTTACCCTTTTCTCTCTTTTTTTTTTTCACGTTAGACTGCTCTCTTCTCGTTTACCCTTTTTTTTTTTCATTTTACCTACCAAATCCTACCCTATACCCGACGTTTCCACCATGGTCAAGGAAGCGAAAATCCCCAACCCGCCGAGCTACATTGAGTTTGCGCACATGCGCTTCCTCATCATGGACGCTCCCAGCGACTCCAACCTGCCCGCCTATATTACCGAGCTGAAAAAGCACGAGGTTTCGGATGTTGTGCGCGTGTGCGATCCCACCTACAACACGGAGCCGCTCACCCGCAACGACATTACCGTCCACGACTGGCCGTTTGTCGACGGTGAAGCCCCGCCGAGCACAGTCACCGACAATTGGCTGAACCTGGTCAACCAGCGCATGTCTCCTGCCGTCCAGAAGGAGGGCAAGCATCCTTGTATTGCCGTGCACTGCGTTGCGGGCCTTGGGCGGTGAGTGCCGACTTTTGTGTTTTTTGTTTTGGATGTGCCCCTTCTTCTTTTATTTTTCCAAACATTTGAACTGCAAATTCTCACCATCTCCTCTTTTCCAACTCTGCTTTTCGGGTTGCCTTGCATTAGAGCACCGGTGCTTGTCGCGATCGCCCTCATTGAAGCAGGCTACGAGGCCGAGGACGCGATCGAGCTTGTTCGCTCCAAGCGGAAGGGCGCCATCAACAACAAGCAACTCTTGTTCCTCCAAAAGTATAAGCGACGAAGCAAGACGCCTGGCAAGTGCATCATCTCTTGACTGAATTTGCCGGCTCATGCAGACAAGTTGGGTTGCACCAATTTTAATTTGATTATTTTTCAATGCAATAGCGATCATTCGTGACACCACGACGAAAATTATTGTAGCCATGACCATCAAAACATCTCTTTTGGAGAGGGCGAGTCCGTAAAATGCTGGCCTTTTAGTCTTTACATGAACATGTCCCCGTATCCTGGAGGAGGAAGGTGGTCTGGATCGGGACTGGGCAAACAAGATAAAGTCGAGCATGAGCACGGGAAGGTGAGGAGAAGAGAGAGCAGAACAACCAAACCACTTACTCGGAGCGAGGTCCGCGTTGCGCCGGGCGGTAACCGCTCGGTCGCACGCCACCTGGCCAGCCGTTGCCAGGTCCAACAGGCCCTACAATTGGATCAAAACGAGCTCCAGGTGGCACGGCACCGGGAGGGAGAAACCCTGGCGCGGGGCGCACGCCTGGAGGGGGCTGTCCGAAGCGGCGATCAAAGATGGGATGGGACGGATCCATGATCGTACGGGTAATATCTGCAGTCAATCCGAAGAGCAATTCCGAAACAAAGCATCATGCGGTACCATGAGCGCCACAAAAATGTGAAATTCAAATTGTTTGAGCAATCCGTACGTAGGAGAATAAACAGGCCGACGATCGCCCTCTCCAACAGACAAAGGATCGTACGGGTAATATCTGCAGTCAATCCGAAGAGCAATTCCGAAACAAAGCATCATGCGGTACCATGAGCGCCACAAAAATGTATGAGCAATCGGTACGTAGGGGAATAAACAGGCCTGAGTGGGAAACGCAATCGGCATTCAATCAACAGGAGCAAACCAAGAGTTACACCAATCGATCAATGAATCAAGAGAATCAAGAAAAGCAATACAAACAACCAAACGTGCCGTACCCGCCTCTTGTTGGCATCCGCAAAGGATCTGATAGGTTGGAACTGGCGGAAGGAGATCGCGATGCTGCAGTAGAAGCTGCATTTGATGAGGAAGGCGCTGGTGGACTGCCAAGGCAAAAAACACAGGTGAGAAATGAAGCCCAGGTTTCCGAGCAAAAGATCTGCGTTGTTTTTGTTCGGCCTTACTCTGTGGCAGGTGTGTGCTTGCATCGGAGAGAACGAGCAACATTGTCCACCGTTCGCTTGATGACAGGCATCAAAGTGGAAGCAGTGGAAATGTCCAATCCAGAAACGTCAATCTCATCTGAAACGGTGCTCGAATCTGCCGCCAAACGAACAAGCAGGAGACAACAACAATGTTCCATAGTGAGAGTACAGCTTGCTTGTATAGCTCCATAGTGAGTGGGATTCTAGCTCGCAAGCAACCCAATTTCGCGAGTCTGCAATGCTAATCTGCTCAGAACGCCAAAATGACCAATTCCGACGGTCTCACAGCGACGCAAATTCCTCACTACACCATCCCATCCTTCACAATAAGGATGATGATGAAGCTGATACAAGATCGACCTACCAGCCGGAGCAACAATGTGGACGAGCAGCCGACTCGCGACGACGAGTGCTTTGAGCTCAAAGACGGCGTTTGTGAGTGCGCCAAAGCAGTAGCGCACGACGTAAATGTCTGCGTTTGCATCATCTGTCGCATTGGACGAAGTGCTCGCGTTCCAGTTGGGAGGAAGTGCGCCGGAGATGCTCAGCGAGGCTGATGACGCGGTCGACGAGGCAACGTTCGAGCTCGCGTCAGCGCCATCGCCATCGCCGGACGCTCTGGCAGCAGGAGTATTAGCAGAAGAAGAGACAACGACAAAGCCCTGAGAGAGCAGCGCGCAATGCACGGCGACGAGTGCTGCGTCGTGACGACTGCGCGCGCCGCTCTCCGACAACTGCTGCTGCACGAGCGCTGAATCCATATCGCTCAAAAAAAAAAAAAATAACTTGGATTGAAAAGACTGCGCTCGCTTTGAAAATGAAAATGATGTGTGGTGAGAAGTTACTCAGTTCGAAAGCAAAGCAAAAGCAAAATGCCAGTTTCACCAAGCCTCAGGGTCCCAGTTCAGCAGCTACACCAAAGGCGACAAAGGCAAGAAGGCATAGGGCTCAAATCCCGAGTTACTTGGACATCTTGGCAACAATCTCATCACGATCGCTGGCAAACTTTTCGTAGATTGGGTGCGACTTGGTCACGGCGGCGTCAGTGAACTTGAGCAGCTTGTCCATTTGCTCCAGGGCCTCGGTCCACTTGGACTGGAGCTCAAACATTTCAATGTAGTCGCGCTGGGTAATCATCCACTCCTGGATGGCGCGCTGGCGGTGCCAAATCTCGAGCGAGCGTTCGTACTGAGGACCCGCCTTGCTCCACTGTGCCGTGTTGCGATACAGCAGAGCAAGGTTGTGATAGACTTGCGCCACGTCCTGGAAACAAAGGAAGGTGAGATAGAGAAGAGGAGGAGAGAAGAAGCAAGTGAGTGAGTGTTGCTTCAATACACCCCCCCAAAAAAAAACAAAAACTGCAAAAAAGCTGTCAAACTTACACGGTGCTCTTTGCCAAGCAGCTTGACGCGCGTGACGAGCGCAGAGAGGTACAGGGCCTCCGCCTCCTGGTGCTTGTCCAACGGGCACTTGTACAAGCCAAGGTTGAGGCGACCCAGTGCCGTGTGCAGATCGTCCGGGCCGTACATGGCCGTCAGAATTTCCAACGCCTCCTTGCCATACCCTTCCGCTGTCTGTGATAGGTGGCGAGAGGGGGAGACGGAATGACGAGGTGAGCGAACAAATTTCTAGAATGATGCTTGTTTGTTCGTTCGAGACAAAAGCTCAGAGTGTTCTTACGGTGTACAATCCAAGCTGGAAGCAAAGCATGCCTGAGCGTTGCAGGAACTACCAAAGAGAAACCAAAGCCATTTGCACACAACACACAAACAACACAAAGCAGCGCGGTGAGTAAAGACGATTCAGTATGTACGATCGCCAATTCAGCGTTTGGGCCTCGTTGGTTTCCCCCGCTTGAAAAACCAAACCACCCCAAAAAGTCTCAGAGTAAGTAATTCTCAGACAAGATTTTCACAGCCTAACCTTGACGTATGCATCGCTGTTACGTCCAACTTCGCTGATCGTTCGCGCAGCCTCTTCCGCAATGACTGGCGGCAGTTCGTCAAACCGCTGCGCCTCGACGAGCTCCTGCAGCTTGCTCATGTACTTTTGCTGCTCGGGCGAGACTGGGACGGACGACGGGCAAACGCCGCCTTCGTGAGAGTGGCCGTGGCCCGAGGAGGAGCCCGACGCAGACCCCGAGTGCGAGTGGCCATGGCCGCCGTCGTGGCTGTGACCATGCCCGCCGTCGTGGCTGTGGCCGTGGTTGTCGTGGCTGTGGCCGTGGCTGTCGTGGCCGCCGTCGTGGCTGTGGCCGTGGCCGTGGCTGCTGCTGGCTCCAGACGAGTGCGAATGGCCGTGTCCGCCGTGGTGGCTCAGCTCAGAGTCGCCGCCGTGCGAGTGGCCATGTCCTGCTCCGGATCCATGGTGCTGCGATGACGAGCAGCGTCCGCCGTCGTGCGAGTGGCCGTGGTGCGACATTGTGGGGAAAGCGTATGAGAAAGACTGAGAACAATCCAAGTTACTGAGAAAACCGTAAACAAACACAAGGAAAAGGAAAAGGGGAAAAAAGGAAGGTCGTTCTGACTGAGAGTACATCTGTGCTCGACTCTGGCTCTGAATCTCCAATCTCAGTCCCTCTCAGTATCGGGGAAGTGCTGTTTTATGCTTCAGTTTGACCATCCTCTCGCTGCACCATTCCTCTGCGCTGTGTGGCGGCATCACGACATGGCAACCTGTCTAGTTTTTTTGCCTTCCTTTGCATGATCAGCGGGGGAAAGTCGAACGCAGCAAGTAAAATTCAAAAGCGAAACGAAACGACCGAAACGACCAAATCTGGCTGCTCAGTCTCAGTCTTTTAGTCTTTTAGTCTCTTTCGGGTTTTCAGTTCTCAGTCACTTGCCGAGTTTACTTGAATCACAATGAGTGGACTTCGCAGGAGTGCTCGTTCGACTGCTGGGCAGCACTCATCCCAATCTCAATCCCAATCCCAATCTCAATCCCAATCACAAGCTGCATCCGCCATCCAAGTGCGGCAGTCGACGCGCACCATCACCGTCACTGGTCGCCAGCGCGAACCAGAGCCGCGCTCTCACCCGCCTCACCACCACCACCATCAGCATCAGCTGCCAGAGTCGCACTGGCACAACTGGTCGCCGCGCTCCTCACCCGCAGCAGCCAGCTCTGCGACCAAGCCAAGCCCCGCCGCCGCCACCACCACCACGACGACAACGACGACGACGCCTGCCAAGCTCGCCAGCATTGAACTCGTGGCTTCGCTACGACGCACTCCCGACATCCAAGTGCGCGCCCGGCCAACGCGCCAGCTCGACTTCCGAGTCCACAATCCACAAACGAGCACCGACAAGCAAACCCAGCAACATCCTCATCCTCATCATCATCATCATCAGGACGATGACCATGACAAGAATGATGGCGAGGTGGATGGCGAGGATGACGACGAGCAGGACGACCCGCTCCATGACGAACAAGACGAGGACGACGAGGATAGCATCGATGCACCAGGCCAGATACCGTCAATGGCATCGGAGCTTGGTCACTCCAAAGTCGTGGCAGCGTGGCCTGCCCCGGGTTATGGCAATTATTCACCTGGTAACCTCGTAATGTTTGAGAAAGCGATTGTTTCGTGTGAATCTCAGATTCTGAGATACGCAGTGATTTGACGCTTGCATGGGAGAATCTCACTGTCGTGGATACTGTGCTTACGTGCTTTTTTTGTACTTCCGCTCCAGCCGTGGGACGAACGTTCGCGCTCAAGGCTGCCAACAGACTGATCAACTTGCATTCCTATGATAACGCCGAAGATGCGTCGCTGTATAGCTTGCTTCGATCCTGGGTCCGCAACAATCCGACCTACGACGATGAGCAGCTAGGCGCGATTCCAAGGGTAAGCAAGCTCACGGTTTGTCCACAATCTTGTTGGCTTGCTAACCGAGAGTCCTTGCTTAAAATCGTACTTTTTCGTGCCCTTGCTTGGTATTGCTGCGCCTTCTTCTTCATCATCATCATCATCTTTTTCTTTTTCTTGTGCATCAGATGGAGCCTCTTGGCTTTCCTCCGCCAGACCCTGCTTCCAACGATGCGTCGCCAGCCAACAACAACGACGACGAAACTCCTCGCCTGTCTCCCGAAAAAATTGAGGCAAAGCTTGCCGCCAAACGCCCTATTTCTCAGAAGGAAATTATGGACGAGTATGCTCAGCGCTGGAAGGCCGCCAGAAACAAGTAAGCTCGATGACTTTACTGCGCAACTTGGATTATTGCCAGTCAGAGCCGCCTGCTAACGGTTTTTTCCCTTGTTGTTGTAGGATGATGGGTGATTACAAGAAGCGATACCGACGATTTTCACGGAGTATTCAGGCGATTCGGCAAACACCGGACTCCAAGATTGAACCTATGTTGTTGCTGAAACGCGTATTTTGATGCAGTATTGTTGGCGCTACGCATGCATAACCAAAATCGAAGAGAAAGAGGTGGCAGTGACACCAAAATGTTGATTCATAAATGAAAAACAATGAACTTAACATGTATTACAAAAAGAAAACATCAAGCAAGCTCACACAGCTTTAGAACAAAAGTGTATGGATTGCGGAAACAATGGGGATAGGGGATGGGAATTGAATCCGCACTCTGTCGTTGGAATAGCAAGCAGCTCGAGCTCTTTTACAGCCCACGTTTGTTGGCGCGCTTAGATCTTGTTGAAGGCAGCAACGTCGACGGACTGGACGTGGTCCTCGAACTCGGTGATCTTCTCCTCAAGAATGTCAGTGCCGACCTTGTCGTCCTCGACGACGCAGTTGATCTGGAGCTTCTTGATGCCGTAGCCGATGGGGATGAGCTTGGCCTGGCCCCAAACAAGGCCGTCCATCTCGATGGTGCGGACAAGGCGCTCAATCTCAACCATGTCGGTCTCGTCGTCCCAGGGCTTGATGTCGAGCAGAATGCTGGACTTGGCAATCAGGACGGGCTTGTTGCCCTTCTTGGCCTGGTACTCGGCAACGCGAGCCTCCTTGATCTTCTTGGTCTCCTCGTCTTCCTCCTCGTCGTCGCCGAACAGGTCAATGTCGTCGTCCTCCTCAGCGGCAGCCTTCTCCTCAGCCTTGGCGGGGGCAGCAGCGGGGGCAGCAGCAGCAGCGGCGGGGGCAGGGGTGGAGCCGAGGCTCTTGACGAGCTGCTCGAGCTTGGCGAGGCGCTCCTTGAAGGCAGCGTTCTCCTTCTCGAGGGCGGCGACGCGCTTCTCGAGTGCGCCGTCGTGGCTGGCAGCAGCGGCAGCCGAGGTCGAGGCGCCAGTGCAGGCGGGAGCCTGGGCGGCGGTAATGTGGCCCTAGCGATGGAAAGGCAAGGAAAGAAGACAAGGAAAAGAGGTCAACTGAGTGAGAGCGAGCCACGAGAGAGTGATGTAGTTGGTGTTGCTGTTGTAATGATTAGATGGGAATGAGGATCAAGCTCACTGTCGCCCACTAAGAACAAACTGATCGAAAAAGCGAGAAAAGAAAAAAAAAAAAAAAAAAAAGGACATCGCTTTTTTGTTTGAACGGACTGTTTGAATGGAAGGGGGGGGGGAGCAGCGATCAACCGACAGAGACGCAGATCAACACAGAGAAGGACAAATCTCACTGGCACACTGCGCACGACGCTCAACGCACACACGAGCAACGCAACGACAGCGCAAAGTAAAATGAAAGAAGAAGAAGAGAGCCATGTGCTTTCTCCTTTTTTTTTTTTTTTTTTTTTTTTGCTTCTTCTATTCTTCTGTCTCTTCCACCCTTTGAAGGCGGAAATATCAGTTGCAGTTATAGTCGTAGTTCAATAGTTAAAGGAGGACGTACAAGGCGTTGCTCGACAAACTCGTAGCGAGCCTGGTCGAACCAGACAGTCTCAGTCTTAAGCTGGGCAGCCATTGTGAAGTGTGTTTTGTGCTTTGAGAGAATATCAAAGAGTGAGCCAACATGAACATTCAATGCACGGATTTGGACAATCAGAGCGAACGAGAATCTGAGATCCTCACAAACAAAAGTCGGCTGGAATACCTTGGATGGAATCGTCAGGTCAAAACGCCAGGACGAGCAGCGAATGGAATCAAACTCAGATTGAGAAATCGCAAAGCACTTCATTGGAACGAAACAAACAAACAAAAAAAACCGGCAGCAAGAAACAACACCAAAAACAACCAAGCAGCAACAAGAATCTCTCTCTACACACAAGGGGGACAAAACTGGTACAACCAACGCTACGGCAGCAGCGACTAGTAGATTTGAGCATAGTTAACGGGCTGCTCGCCACCTTCCGAGTGCGGCTCGGACTCGGAACTCATGACCGGGTTGTGAACGGTGCTCGAGTACGTCGCGTCCGACGCATTGGTAGGAGGAGCGCGCAGCTCGTCGTATGCGCCACCAGAGCCGGCGGATCGCGTGGGAGTCGCGTATGCGCCACTCGAGCTGGCAGTTGGTGTGGGAGTCGCGTATGCGTCACTAGAGCTGGCCGTTGGAGCAGGAGTCGCGTACGCCGTGTTCAGGGACTGGTACTGGGGCTCAGCGCTGGGATATGGCGCAAGTGACGCGTAATGGCTCGAGGGCTTCTCGTCGGAAACACCGACGAGTCTGTCATACCCAGCTCGAGCCTCGTCCATGGACTCGTACTCGACATGGTTGCCGGGCGAGTAGGCAGGCAGCGAGTCCGGATGCGAGGCGCTGGATGCAGAGTTTCGGACGAGGCTGGCGACGGGGAGCATTGCGATCGTGCTCGTTTCGCGCTGGACGGCCTTAACACGGTTGTCACGACGGCGACGGCGGCGCATCGCGACCGCCACGAGAATCAGCAAAATCAAGAGCACAACTGCCACAGCGACGCCTGCTGCCAGCGGAATAATCGACCCACTCGAACCGGACGAAGAGCTGCCAGACTCGGAGGGATTCACGTGTGTTGCAGATGAGACTTCTGGAGTAGCAGAGGAGACGGCTGGGGTCACAGACGAGATCTGGGGTGTCGCAGATGAGACTTCTGGAGTGGCCGAGGAGACTTCTAGAGTGGCCGAGGAGACTTCTGGAGTGGCCGAGGAGACTTTTGGAGTGGCAGAGGAGGCTTCTGGTGTTGCAGAGGAGACTTCTGGGGTCGCAGAGGAGACTTCTGGGGTCGCAGAGGAGACTTCTGGGGTCGCAGAGGAAATTTCAGGTGTGGCAGATGACACTGCTACCAACGAAGTCTCTGACGCGAGAGAGGCGGCAGAGGCAGAGGCGGCAGAGACCTCAGAAGCAACCGAGGCAGAGGCGATTGAGGCGACTGATGCGGATTTAGTTGATGCGACCGAAGCATCTGAGGCAGCCGATGCTGATTGAGTGGACGCGATTGAAGCGAGGGAGGCAGACGCTTTGGATGCAGACGAAGCTGAAACAACTGAAGCAGTAGAGGCAACGGAAGCAACGCTGACAGACGCCTGAGAAGCAGCCGAGCTGGAGTAGGATGGCGAACACTCGGGCATGGCATTGCACACGAACGAATTGAAGGGAGAGCTCGCGCAACTCGTGCAGTAGGTTGAGATGACGTCGACCGCAGTGTATGTTCCAGAGGTACCAATGGAATTGAACTTTGGCAGCGGATACTGTAGCGCGCTAGATCCAGAGCCCGAGAACAGAATATCAGTCTGATCACTGGCTCTAGTATTTCCGGAAAAAGTGCTGCGAACAACACCAACGATTGCACTAGCTCCAAGATGGAGCGCACCAGAATTCCCGCTTGTGGATCCCGAATACTGGTTCATGACAATGCACTGTGAGCCTTAAAACCAGAAGATGACGGATTCGAGCGGTTTGAAAGGTAAACTTACCACATTATTTGTAAAGTTGCATCTGGAAAAATACGAAATTGACGTTCCTAAACGAATGATACCCGAACTTCCGGTAATGTAGTTTCCCAAGAAAAGCGTGTCCCAAAAGGCACCTCTCGATGAGGTGCTGTCAGGGAAAAAGACGGCAGCTCCAGAACTGGCATAGTTTCCGCTGAACGTCGACGATTGAGAGTACAAGGAAGCACCATTATTTCCGTAAACAGCACCTCCAGAATTGGCATTGTTTCCGCTGAACGTCGAGGATTGGAAGGACAAGGAAACACTAGAAGCTGCGTAAACGGCACCACCAGCACCCGAGCTACTCGATGTTATATCAAACGCAAATTGGTGAGCGCCAATCAGGTCACAATTCCAATGCCACACTTACGCTGAGTTGGAAGAGAAAGTGCATCGATCGCAACTCAGAGATGAGGCGGCGCCAGACAGCCCCAGATTGATGGCACCACCGTTATTAGCCGAACTGGAGAGAAAGCGCAATCGTGAGTACCTTGCGTTGGTGCAAAAGCGGATAGTGCCTTGAATAGTCACTTACGATGAGCAGGACGTAAATGTTGCATTTGACATGACAAAGCTCACGGCCCCGTTCGAAGTTTGAGTGATGGCGCCGCCGGCATTAGTTGCCGAGCAGGATGTGAATTGCGTATTGCTGATGGAGATGGTGTTGCCACTTGTACCGCCATGGGTTATCGCCCCGCCGCTTCCGCTGGTCGCCGTGCACGAGATAAACGCAGACGAATCAATGGACAAATTGACTTTAGTGGTTGCTCCAACAAAAATGGCGCCGCCTGTCACACTCGTTGCAGTGCAACTTTGGAAGATAGTGCCGACGATCGAAGCGGATATGGTCGATCCGGTGGCAGTATTCGAAAACGCGATCGCACCTCCACCCGTGCTTGACCTACGATGCAATTCGATGAGTAAGCGTACCAGCAGAGAAAGATTCAGATTCTCAGAAGAAATGACTCACGCCGCGCAGCTCTTGAACAGAGAGCTTGAAATAGAGAGAGTTGCAGGAGAGTCAAAAATCGCAACAGCACCGCCAGGTCCGCCCGAGCTCGTGCAGGCATCCAGAGTGACATCGTCCAGAACCAAAGTTGGATTTGTGGCAGCAGCAGCGACGGAAACGCAGCCGCCGCCACTACTGGATCCCGAGCCTCGCTTCAGAGTCAAGTGTCGGATGGTCAAAGTTATTCCTCCAGTCGAGGTCAGCGAAAAGTGTCGTCCAGCAGTGTTCATGTCAAGGACGACATCCGAGTTGAGGGTTCCAGCTCCGCGAACTTCCACGCTTGTTAATCGCGAAATTGTCATGGCATCGGTGCCTGCCATCGTGTATGTTCCAGTCGCGATGCAGACGACCGAATTGGCTGCATTGGCGACTTGCGTTTTCAGGGCTGAGATGGACGAGACAGTGACAGAGCATGGATCCAAGGCCTCGGCAGCCGAGTGGAGCAACAACAGCGCACAGACGGCGCTGTAAACAAGCCATCGGCCGGCGGTTGTCAGCCTCTGGCGTTCGTGCATCTTGTTGGACTTGAAACAATCTGACTTTGTAAGCAGAAATCATTTTTGGTATGGGTAAGAAAATGATCGCTTTGCATTTGTGTGTGTTTTGGTATTATTTTTTTTTCAGCCACTTTTGAAAAAATCACAAACAAAACAAACAAACAAACAAACAACCAACAGCGGCTGAATCTGGAGCCGTTTTTGGCTCAGTTTCTACTTGTCTCTGTCTCCTGACTTTTGTCCCCCAATACAAGAATCTCGTCCTTCAATGTGCTGCACAGCACCGGTTGCGCATGCTGCGGGCGAACTCTCTCCGCGCTAGTGCCGAATTGCCAATCCGTCGGAAGCAAGCGTCAAGATGCAACAAAAAACGCCAATTGACAACCGACACACAGTTCGCAAGCCAAGTCTTTTCTCATGGGCCAGCAACGCGACGTCGACCTCTCGCCATACACATCTCACTCGCAGTTCCTGTTGCGTATCATCGTGACATAATCTGGAATTGCAGTATCGCGATCAAGCCAAGGGGAGAAGACGGTACGAGGGAAATCGCCGAACTGCCCAAACCAGCCAAAACCAAACCCACCAACAGGGCTGACTCGACTCAACTCGCCTGACTGCTCGCGTTGGGCTGCTGCACCTCACGCGCCGCAGTCTCAAATGTTCAGTTTGGTGATCACTCGTCTCTTTTCTATTCTTCCTGCAAACTTTGGGGAAAGGCGTCGGCCTCCGTAATACGTACAGCCACCGGCAGATTAAAAAATCCAAAAACTCCAACCAAAACAAAACAAAACCAAACAGAAAAAAGAAAAAAAAAAAAAAAGGAAGAATGATCATAAAAATCGTTCAAAACGGCTCTTTTGGGAGTTGCTCCGTTTGCGCCGTTTGTCCGGCATCAATCATCACAAGGATGACCAAGGTCACAAGATGCAAAAGAACGAATGCATTTTCTTATGCGCAATGCTTTGGGAGGGATGCGCAACACAGCCGAGAAACGCCTGCCGCAAAAAGCAGAGAGGAGCGAACTGCAAAGAATAAGCCGATGGCTGTTGCGGGTTTTCGATTTCAGACTCAAAAAGCGAGCGAACTCGTACGCTCGGCTCACAACCGGCACATCCACGCAACACTCGGGCAGTGTTGGGCCCAACATGCTGTTTTTGTGCTTGTCCTTGCCTCGGTTTGGCAGGGCTCACAGAGGGCGCCAAAAAACACACAAATCAACAACAAAAAAAAAAAAAAAAAGCAAAACGCCGATCCGATGCGAAACCTTGCGCAGACAGAATGGTGATGTAAAAATTCCAAAGGTGTTGCTCTAATTGTGATATTGAATAACAAACCGGAAAAATGTACAGAAAAGAAAAAGAAACCAAACGTTGCAAAAGTGAAGTGAAACCAGAGAGAGTTTCAGCAGCTGAACCTTGTGTTGGTCAAAATGTTTGAATGAATGAATGCTGATGAAGACGATGAAGATGAAAATGCTGAAGATGATGCTGAAGATGATGGTGCTGAAGAAGAAACTTTGAAGGACGCTGATAAAGTCGCGGTTGATCAGACGAGTGGAGCGGGCGTTCCTCAAGCTTCAGACGCTTCGTTGGTCGACTCTGAGACATCCAGGATCAGAGGCGCAGCACCTGGAGAGGGCGACTGAACAGGAGAGCTGGCGGAAGTGACATTGGATGGAATGTCAATCACCACAGAATGATCGGTGCTCAGCGCGGACGAAGGCGTCAAAGCAGGAGGTGGAATGCTCGAGGAAAGGCTGTCCGACGAAACCATGCGAGAGAGAATGGCCCGAAGAGCATCAGCAGACGCAAGCCTGTCCGACGGATCGGACGCAACAGAATGAGACGGTCGGCGGGGGCGAGCAGCTGGCAAATCAAACCGAGGGGGAGCGTCCTGCGGCGGCCCAGGCTCCGAGCCTGACACGACCAGCAGCGTAGGGGCAGACAGCGGCTGAGTTGGAGCAGACAGCGGCTGAGTTGGAGCAGAAAGCGGCTGAGTTGGAACAGCCAGCGGCTGGGTTGAAGCAGGAGGGGAAGGAGACGATGGAACAGAGACCGCTACGGACACGGCTGCAGATGGCACGGAAGTCGAGACAGGGATGATGGCGCTCGACCGATGAGATCTTTGGTCGCGATCGGCAGCACGAAGGTCCCGATCAGGACGCTTCATTGCCGAAGGAGGAGCCATTGCCGATTTGAGAGGGACGTGCAACTTGGGGCTTGGTACCTCATGTGGCTCGCTGACGCCTTCGCTAACAGAGGGTGACAGATTGAAATGCACGAGACCATGACCGTGTCCATGGTGCTTGTGATGATGGTGGTGGTGGTGATGATGATCGTGCTTGTCGTGCTTGTCGTTCTTGTCGTGCTTGTCGTGCCGGTCATGCTTCTCGTGCCTGTCGTGCTTGTCATGTTGGTCGTGTTTGTCATGCTTGTCGTGCCTGTCGTGCTTGTCGTGCTTGTCGTGCTTGTCATGCTTGTCATGCTTGTCATGCTTATCATGTTTATCATGCTTGTCGTGCCTATCATGCTTATCGTGCGAGTCAGGCTTGTCGTGCCTGTCGTGCTTGTCGTGCTTGTCATGCCTGTCATGCTTGTCGTGTTTGTCCGTGTGATCCCTTTCATGACGTTCGTGCTTCGAGTCATACTTGTCATGCTTGTCGTACTTGTCAGGCTTGTCGTGCTTCTCGTGCTTGTCGTGCTGGTCGTGCTTGTCGTGCTTGTCGTGCTTGTCATGCTTGTCATGCTTGGCATGCTTGTCGTGCTGCTGTTTGGGCTCGATCTTGCTGTCGCGGCGGCTCTCGGAGCGACTGCTGGGCTGACTCTCAATGCGACTATCGCGGCGACTGTCCGAACGACTGTCTGCTGGAGAAGCGCCCGGCTTATCACGGAAGGAGTGCTGAAGCGGCGAGTGCCGGTGGACGCTGTGCGCCGCCAAGCGAAGTGAAGCGGTCGACGTGTTGAGCTGCTTTGCCGAAAGATTCTTCAGGTCGCTATGCGAATCCGAATGCTTGGACGAATTGTCGTCGGAACCTTCCACTCCAAACAGACTGCCAGAGAAGATGCGTTTGAATGTGTCGCGCCGGTTGAGGGGAGGTGGCGGTGAGGGCGCGGCGGCTGCGCTCGCTTCGGAGGCGGGAGCGGGCGAAGTTGGACGTGATGTCACTGGCGATGCCGCTGGAGAAGGAGGAAGCGAGGAAGAGCTGTCACTAGAGTGGTCGGACGAGCTCGAGTCTGACGATTCAGAAGAGCTCGACGAAGACGAGGAGCTCGATGCTCCCAGCAAAACCATGTCGTCGTCGATCGCGTCCTGAATGACGCCAAGCTTGCGAAGCTCGTCGTGATCCAGGTCGCTCGATGTGTAGGATTCAGAGCCACTGGATGTGTCCGAGTCATCGCGACGAGAGCGCCGACGAGAATCGTCCCGGTCTTGTCGCCCTTTCCCAGACCGATGTGGCTTTCTCTGGTGCGACCTGTGCGAAGGATGATGCGAATGATGACGACGGCGGTGGTGCGAGTCAGAGTTGTCCGACGAGTCGCTTGAGCTGTCGTCATCGTCGTCTTTACTGGCACTGTGGGTGCGATGCCGGCTGCTCGAAGGTCGATCATGGTGGTGCGAACGGTGAGACCGGTGATGGCGGTGACGGTGGTGAGAGTCATCGGAGACGTCGCTGCTGTCCGAGCTGCTCCTGCCGCGGAAGGGGCTCTGCATCAAGGATGGCTCGGCCGCACTGCCATCCATAATCACGGAGGGATCCATGCCTTGCTGAGACTCATCGACGAAAGCCGCCAAGTCTTGAACAAAGTTTGCTCCAGCCATTCCAATTTGTGAGAATGGCAGGAATCCAATGTGAAGCGGCTCGTTATCCACCATGGGCACCGTACCCAGAGGGAGCGTCATGGCCGGCGTCGTAGCCTCTTGTTGGGTGGATGCGGCGTTGCCAGACGAGTCCTGCGCTCCAGCGTCACCAGATCGCTCGGGCATCATCGTACTGTCGCCAGACGGCACCGGTCCCAGCACGGGAGCTGCCGCAGCAACTGCAGCAGGACTGATCGAGGAGGGCGTGCGAGATTCGGCATCCGGACCAAGCAGAGATTGTTGGCGAGTGACCGGCCGCGGTGACGATTGAGATTGAATGCTGCTACCCGATGGGTCACCCACAAGATGCTGGAGCAACTGTTGGTGCTGCTGTTGCTGCTGTTGCTGCTGAAGGCGGTGAAGCTGCTGTTCCGTCATCACAACGGTGGGCACAATCAGCGAGCCGTCAGGCCCAGTTTGAACGAGGAACGAAAATGGGTTGCGCCGAATGCCAGCGGCAGGCGTGCTTGTACCAGACCGTGTCGGAATCGCCGATCCAACAGAGCTCGACGGATTGAGATGCAAGTGAGAGTCTGCAGAGATGGGCAGCTTTAGACTCGAGGAATCAAACGCAGGCGGTCGATCGCTTGTTGCCGAAGTGGGTGCAGCAGGTGACTTTCGATCAACGGTGACTGTCAAGGGAGCAGAAGTGGCAGTAGCCGGAGCAGGAGCAGGAGCAGTAGCCGAAGCAGGAGCAGTTGCTGTAGCAGTTGCTGTAGCTGGAGCAATTGCAGTAGCAGGCGATTTGGTAGCCGCCGCCGCCGCCGCGGCTGCAGCTGCAGCTGCCATGGCGGCTGTGGTGGTAGGTGTGCTGACTCCACTTGAAACAACATCCATGGATGGGACGGTACCGATGACATCGGCCTCAGCAGCAGCTCCAACGAGAGGCGCGTGCTGGTGCAATGCCGACGCGTCACCGGGAGTTACGAGGCCGCTATTGATACTCAGCAAGGAACCTGCACGCGTAGCATCGGCGCCCAGCGATGGTGTGCTGCCGCCGCTGGTGGGTGCTGGCAACTTGAGGTCAAGGGGCGCGCCTGTCACCGACGCCGCCAATGATGGTGGCTGAACAGAAGACGGAGTGTGGACGGAGGAAGGGATGCGGGCACTGGATGGCGCTGTCGACGGGTCGTGCATCATGCCAGAGATGAGGGTGGCTGGCTGTGCGGTGGAAGCATGAGAAGCCCAGGACTCGATATGCGCCAACGACGCAAAGGAGAGCTGCGGCACAAAAGCGCGCTCTCCTGCAGCAATACCCGTTGAACGAGGCGAGTTGGAGATGGATCGCGCGACGGTCGTGATCGCAGGCGGAACTGGTGCTCGGACCACCATCGGGGGTTTGAGAATCAGACCGCCTTGGCCAGATGATGATGAGGATGACGAGCGCTTGCTCGAACGACTCTTCCGACTGTCAACACTCCCCGTCCGGGAGCGAGAAGAGCCGCTGGTGTAGCTGGCACCGGAAACGGAGCCGGAACGTGAGTCACTGTGGCGCGAACGTCCGCGGTGGTGTCGTCGGTGCCCGGACGTCTTCCTGCCTAGTCGTTGTCGACTCGCAGACTTTCGAGTCGCTGCTCTCTTGCGGGAGCCTGAAGCTTGCGTGTCTGCATTGCTCGCGCTGTCCTGCTCTTGCAACTCTTCCATCTGCTCGGATTCGGCAGCAGACAGGACTGCACGTAGGACGTCGGGATTGTTGTCGATCGTGATGGCGAGCATTCCGTCCTGGCTGTGCGCATGCGCAAGATGGGGGATTGGAACAATCTGTCCACCATCGACACCTGCGCCGCTGTCCGCATCTGGAGTCGCGTGCTGGCGCGATCGATCGCCGCTCGTTTCGGCCGTGCTGTTTTCCATGTCTTCGTCCTCGCTGTTGTGACGACTCGAAACGGCACTGAAAAGACGCTTGGGGACTTGAACTGCCTTGTCAATCGAGTCGGGCAAGTTGCGCTGGCGGCCGAGAATCATGACAAGCAGCAGGACGAGTTTGGACACGGGGTGCCAAACACCGCAAAAGGCGAAAGGTACCCCTGGGTAGCCGAGAGAGAGGCCGACGGTTCCGTAGCCCGAAATAATATCAAAGAGGATTTTGAACAGGGTGAAGCTCACGTCCTCCTCCAGATGGTCGGTCTCAATGCTGACGATGATCAAGTATGCGAGAAACAAAAAGATAGAGTCTTGGGTCATGACGCGTTTCGCCTGGGAAGTGATGGTGTTGCTGGAAGAGCGACCTGCTTCACGTTCTTCGACGTCACCCATGACATTGCGGTCGAGGACAGTCTTGCGGGAAGAGGACACAGTGCCATCCAAGCCCGAATTGCGCACAGCTACGGCGATGGGTGAAACGGAAATGTACATCATGGCCAGAAAGAGAACGAGAAGACCGGGCTGAAGCTGGCCCAGGTCGATGCTGTTAAAGCCGGCAGAACGGGTGACAGCCGCCTGGAAGAACGAGTTGACAATCTTTTCGCCGGCGTTGAACTCGGCAAACAGGCTTTCCGTCCACTCGTAGCCCATCAGAGCGCTCCATTGCACGACGGTCAAGACGACAAACACCAGCAAGAGCCATCGGTTTTGGGCACGTGGGAACAAGTGTGTAAAGCACCGGCGCGGATGGTCGAGCAGAAACTTGTACGTTGCACGGGTGGTCGGATTCTTGGACAACCAGTAACGCGCCACAACAATAATGCGCATGATGAATGGGAAGGCGACGTTGCCCGTGACGGTCATCAGAGAAATCAAAAGCAGCGGGAAGTACTGGAATCGGAAGGGCACAATGTTGGTCGAGATGGTAGACAGGCCACAATTGTGGAAAGCCGAAACGGTTTGAAACAGGGCAAACCAAGCCGTTGTCTGGTTGTTGGCCTCCATGACTTGAATGGCTCCATCATTCGCAATGCAGTAAATATACAGCATCAGGTAGAAGGAAATGAGACACGTTCCCCACAAGATCGGAACGATGCGAAGCAACGCATTCAGCGCATTGTACTCGGCAAGGTCTTTTCGATAGCTTTCAATGTGGTGCCGACGCAATTGCTTTCGAAAGTAAAACTTGCGCATGATGACGGGTGCCACAGTCATAATCATGGAGCCGCCGAACATCATGACGATAATGAGGACAGCCTGGGTGCCTTGGTGCAATTCTGCAACGTCGACGGAGGACAAGCCAGTTTGGGTCACGGCACTGGTGGACATGAAAATGGCGTCCACGAACGAGATAGTGCCGGAACTCGCGTACAGCTCCGACAGATACACGGCGATACCACCGAGTAATGCGACCAGGAAAATGTACAGAAAGTGGATGCGGTAGTAGTTCAAGTGACGCCTGATTTGCGCCCAGATGATGGACAGGTAAAAACAGAAATTGAGCCACGCGTGAGACTCGGTGATGGGCTTGGTGATGCGATGCCAGAACACAGACACAACGCTAGGAGACGAGCGATGCTTGACACTGTCGGTGCGCGACCCACGGCGCGATCTTCGCATGTTGCTCATCTCCATGTCGTGCCCACTGGCCTGGCCGTCCGAATGGTCTGCGCTGGTCGTTCTCCGACGGTGCGACTTCCGACGGCGTAGAGATCGCTGCGCCGTGTGCTTTCGAGACAAGCGGGAGCTGTTGTGGTGCGGCAAGGAGCCGACACTCCCTGGCTCGGAGGAGTGGAGACCTCCCGAGCTCCGATTGCGGGGAATGGCAGAGCGAGAGCCGCCGCGAGCCGACGATCGGTCGGACGTTGAGACGGTCGAGGCAGTCGACACAGAGTACGATCGTGATCCATCGCCGTTCGCGTGAGAAAGATAGCCTGCAGCTCCCAGCTGGGACTCGGACAGACCTGATGGACGCCGACGACGCACCTTCTGCCATGAGGACGACTTTGAATAATGGTGACTCGACGAGTGAGCACTGCTGCTTCCGCGTCCATGTGCAATCCCTCGAGATGACGATGGCACACCTGCCGCGGCGGAAACGCTCATCAGGCCAGCTGCCAACGCAGACATGTTGCGCGCGCCGCCAAAGCTCGACGTTGCGCCTGCCGCCGGCGACAGAGACGCGCCACCGTTCGGCAGCAGCGAGAACAGGAACAGGTTGGATGCTTGTCTGGGGATTGGCTGTGCACCAGCGGCTGCAGCAGCGTTGTTACTTGTCGTCTGAGCAGCAGGATTCGCAGCGATCGCATTGGCTTCAGCTCGTTGCAGCAATGGCGGCGCTGTCGGCATTGGCGCTGGTGGCAGCGGCGAGTGCTCCAATGGCTGCTGCTGCTGCTGCTCCTGTTGGTCCAATGGAGATGACGGCGGGACCTCAAAGTCGGTCGAGCTCCGTCTTGGCGCGAGTGGGCTCACGTCGGAAAGGGTGCCTGACAGCGGCTCGATCGCGAGCGGGGCTGGCGTCGCAGCGACGGACGACCCGCCATCCACAGGCCGCAGCGTCGTGCTCGACTCTGTTGCAGCCACTTGGAGCGTGCGGAGGCTCAGCGACGGCGGCACAGAACTCGGTGCGGTCGCTGCTGCAGATGGCTCGATGGCGACTGCTGCGGTGGAACCAGCTGAGCCGCCCTCAGGCACGGCACCACGCGCTGCGCTTGCGGCTGTGTGGTCAAGGACTGGTGCCGATGGAAGTGCAGCATCGGCGGCGCTGGGTGCGGCGTCGGCTGCTGGCGTCGGTGGCGGAACCGCGTCCGGCGACCCATGCGTCATGAGCGGACCGTGTGGACCTTGTCGGCACTGCTGCTGCTGCTGCTAAGGCTGTTGGGTTTTTCAAAATTCGGAGAGACCACCAACCCGAGATTGATGAGAATGAGCTGGTATTGTTTTAAGGGGGGGGGAGGTGGAATGGCATTGGGAGATGAGAGGGTTTGTTGTTTGGGCGGACGTAAAACCTTGGGTCTGAGCATTTTGGCTTTGGCACGTCATACATCAGCCAGCGGCATGGATCGGTACCGTGCGGGGCAAGTCCGAGTCGGTAAGCAGTACGAATTCAAAATCATTGGATTGGATTGATGGAGAGTCGTTGTGTACCAGCGACAAAGAAAATCTCGAGGGATGGGTTGTAATTGTACAAATGTGTGTGTCTCAGTGGAACAGAACAAACAAATTGCTCATAACAAAGGAAATCGAAACGAAGTAGAATACCAAAAACGGATCAAAAAACACAAAATATTCATCGGTTTCTCGCCGCACCCGAAAATGCTGTTTTGTTTAAAGGTCATTGTAGAACATGGGCTTGGTGGTCGCGCCACTCGAGTTCATCTCCTGCATCTGGAAGTGATGAAGAAGCGCTCGGGTCGTCTTGCGGCGCTTGTAGCGCAGGTAGATCTTGATAAACTCGGACAGCAGCGTGTGGACAAAGACGCCGAGCAGAATCATGGCCCAAGCCGTGCCGCCAAGCGGGACCATGTCCAGGGCGCTGTTAAATCCAGGAATGTAGATGCCCATGATGAGGAAGACAAAGGACAGGGCGACGGCAGCGAGCAACTGGTAATTGTTGAACGGGTTGGCCTGGAAGATGGACATGGACTGCGAGCGCGACAGGAAGGCATGGAAGAGCTGCGTGGAGGTCAGGAGCGTAAAGCAGAAGGTCTGAGTCGTGGGGGTGTCCCAACCAAGCGGGACGTCTGCAACATGAAGACCAATCAGCGCAATGGTACACATCGACGCGCCCTGCAGCATGATGACAACAATGGTGCGAAGGGTGAGGATGCCGCGCTTCGGGTCACGCGGTGGGCGGGTCATGACGTCCTTCTCGGGCGAGTCAAAGCCGAGCACAATCGAAGGCGGAATATCGGCCACAATGTTGGCGTAGAGAATCATGAGGGGGGTGAATGGAATGGGCAGATCGATAATGACGGCGAACAGCATGCAGAGAATTTCAGCCACGTTGCACGAAAGCAGGTAGAGGATGAACTTGCGAATGTTGTCGTACACGCGACGACCCTCTTCGATGGCCGTCACAATCGTGGTGAAGTTGTCGTCCGCAAGCACAATGTCGGCAGCCTGCTTGGTGATGTCGGTGCCTGCAATACCCATGGCCACACCGCAGTCGGACTTGCGCAGAGCAGCTGTGTGTGTGTGAAAAGAAGCAAAAAAAAATAACAATCAAAAGTGGTGTGAGATGGGTGATCATCGATAATAACATTTCAAACCATCAAAACCACAGGTTGAGGTGCGCGAGCACGATATATCGCTCTTACCTGCATCGTTGACACCATCACCAGTCATGGCCGCAACTTCGCCTCGCGTTTGAAGGGCAGTCACGATCTGGAGCTTGTTCTCGGGCGACACGCGAGCAAAAACGCTGGGGAAGGGATTGAGGGTGACGAGCTTGTCGGCTGCCATGAGCTCGTCGATTTCGTGACCACGAAGGACACGGTCGATACCGCCTTGGATGGCGGTGGATGAGCGGTTGTTGCTCTCCGAGTCGGACGAGCCTGAAGACGCCGACGAGCTGGTCGAGCCGCGACGATCGGCCAAGCCGAACGGTACAAAGCGACGCCAGCCAGTGACTTCGGAGTGGCTCTGCGACGCCTGGCGCTGAGGGGGCTGAGAGCCGGCGGCAGCAGCAGCAGCAGCAGCAGTTGGACGGCCCATGGCCCCGCGAACAACATCAACAATGCTACGATTCGATGCAAAATTCGTCAGACCACCGGCGGCAGAAGAAGGAGCAGCAGCAGCCTCGATTTCGTCGTCGCTGTCGCTCTCAATGTCTGCCGTATTCGGGTCAAACACAACGTTCTTGATGGCGCCCGTGGTGGAGGAAAGCGTCAAGGCGAGGGATGACGACGTGGGCTCCAGTTTGCCAGAGCTGGGAACGCGGGGCATGGGCGCAGCAGCAGAATCGGTGGCGTGCAGACCTTCGACAATGATGCCAAGGCTGAGGGCAATGGCTCGCGCGGTCGAAGGGTGGTCACCGGTAATCATGCTGACCTTGACACCGGCGCCGTGGCACTTGGCGATGGCCTCCTGGACACCATCACGAGGAGGATCCATCAAGCCAATCAGACCAACCAAGGCAAGGCCGCCGCCCTCGACAAACTCCACATTGTGGAGCTCTTCGTCAGTGGCAGTGTGGGGCCGCTCGCCGATCGCCAGAGCAAGCACACGCAGACCGAGCTGAGCCATGGCAGCGCCGCGGGCTTCGATTTCGGCCAGAGCTGCGCGAGCGGCGCCATCGCCCTCGCTGCTGATGGGAATGCGCTTGCCATTCGACTCGAGAAAGTTGCACGACTTGAGCACGGCTTCGGGGGCTCCCTTTGCGAGCACAAGGAATGGGCCATCGCCGAGCTTGTAGACCACGCTCATGCGCTTGCGGTCCGAGTCGAAGGCAAACTCGTGGACAAACGACATGCGCTGGCCGCCGAGGGCAACACCGCCAGTCCAGGCATCCTTGCCCAGGTCTGCCTTGAGGGCGGCGAGGTTGAGAGCAACCTCGGTAGAGTCACCAAGCAAGTCCCAGACACCCGTTTCCGGGTTGAGGTACGCCGACGAGTTGTTGCAAAGCGCGCACACCATCAGCGCACGGCGGGTGGACTCGGCGAAATCGTCGCGCGAAATTGTGCCAGCGGTGCCGTCCTGAGCAAAGGTGCCGACGGGCGTGTTGGCTGAGCCGGTGATGGAGAGCATCTGAGGATGCGTCCACAGCTTTGTGGCCGACATTTTGCCGACCGTGAGGGTGCCCGTCTTGTCCGAGCAGATGGTCGTGACCGAGCCGAGCGCCTCGACGGCAGCCAGTTTGCGGACAATGGCGTGGTTGCGAGCCATGCGTTGGACACCGAGTGCCATGGTGACGGTGGTGACAGCGACAAGACCTTCGGGAATGGCCGAAACAGCAAGCGACACGCCCACTTTGACCATCTCCTCAGAGTCTCGACCACGACCAATGCCAATGCCAATGACGAGGCCGCAGAGCACTACGGCGAACGCGACCAGGATTTTGCCGAGACGATCGAGCTTGCTCTGCAGGGGCGTCTGAGGGGGCTTGCTCTGGGTAATGTTGGTCGAGATGCGACCAATTTCAGTGTTGGTACCAATGCACACGACAACGCCGCGACCACGGCCGCGGTTGACCACCGTGGACATGAAGGCCAAGTTGATGCGATCGCCCACAGCAGTCACCTTGTCGCGAATGGCTGCAGTGTTCTTCTCGACAGCGACAGGCTCGCCGGTGAGGGGGGCCTCGACCACGCTCAAGCCCACAGCCTCAATCAGACGCAGGTCGGCGGGAATCTGGTCGCCTTCCTCGAGGACGACGACATCACCAGGAACAAGCTCGGCGGCCGGAATGTCCTGCGTGACGCCGTTGCGAACAACCGTGGCCACGGGAACCGAAAACTTGAGCAGGGCGTCGAGCGCCTTCTCGGCCTTGTAGTCCTGCGAAAAGCCCGTGGCAACGTTGATGACGACGACGGCAAACAGCGTAATGCCAGCCTTGTAGTCACCAATGCCGCAAGACACGGCAGCGGCAGCAATCAAGATGAGCACCATAAAGTTGGTAATCTGGGCCCACAGCATGGACAGGATGCCTGGCTTTTGCGGCTTGGGCAGGGCGTTGGGGCCGTAGTGCGCTCGGCGGCGCTCAATCTCGCTCAGCGGCAGGCCGTTGCGCGCATCGGTGCCAAACACCTCCAGGACGGTGGAGACGTCGTCTTCGACATAGTTGCCCTGGGGAGGGAAGTGATCGGTGCTCTGCAGCGTCGCGGCAAGGGGCAGCGTGGCAATGTGCTCGTCCTCTTCGTCGGCATCGGCCTCGTCGGGGTGCAAGGAGGAGGGGGTAGCAGCTGGAGGGATGGGCGAGGAGACGATGACCGGCTCATCAGCCTTGCCTGGCGATTTAGGGGGCGCAGCCGCGGCAGCAGGAGTGGCAGGGGTGCCGCCGCTTTTGCCAGTGCGTGGCGTGGCATGCGACGACGACGGGGCCAGAATGGCATCGAGGAGCTCGCGGACGCGGTCGTGGGCGCTGGGGTCGATAAACTTGCGGTAGTCGGCAAACTTGGCATAGTTGGTGGTCAAGAAGACAATCAGGCGT